TTAGATCCAAAGCAATCATTTTTCTTTTGAACAGTAACTGGCCGCTTGAGGATCTGGCTAACCAGCGGGCTTTATCTGAGAATGACATTGAATTGTTCCTTTTGAGGCAGGATGAATATGATTTGAGTAAAGGTTATCTGGAGTTTTTGTAAACCATGCATTTACATGTATAAGTACATGAACATACAATTCAACATTATCCTGCTATAAATTCAAAACATATTATAATGCACTATAAGAGGACACTTCTTTGGGTAAATATTTCAAGCTGTAAACCAGCTAAGAAATATAAAAGAACTAAACTATGCATGAACTTTGAAAAGCTTTTGAGTAAACAGCGAAAAAATTAAAAAGTCAGTGCTACAATAAGTTACCGGTACAACAAAAAAAGAGTTGGTACCGGTAATGATGGGGGTTTCACTGTATAGAGGGGCATACATGTACTACTGTTGATATTGGAAATATGGAATAAACCCATGCTATTTCCACCTCAAAGGCACATACATTGTAAAAAGTACAATAAAAAACTTCCTGCTAAATCATAAAAATATAAGATTGATCTGCCGACAGGGAGGTAAAACCCATTATAGTCATTCAACATAATCTCACAAAGCTCTTATTCAACACGATCAAAGCCTATAATTTTTCCTGGAGGCAGTTTTTGTTTCTGATCATGCTTCAGACAGACGCCCAGCGTGTGGTTACAACTACAGAGCAAACAGTGTTTTCCCTCCAAAGACGCCTGTGATTGAAAACACTTCATCATAAAATCATAAACTTCGCTATATTTTTTGGCATGACCCTAATTCTAAATTAGGATTTTTTTTCATGGATGTGAAATGTAAAGAAAGGATCAACACGTTTGGTATGTCTATTTCATGCTTGTGCATTCTTACATGCATAAGTTCAGCAACTTTAATCTTTCCTGTCATGTTAAGTTCATGAGAACAATATTTTTTTTAGTGAAGACTTTAACTGCAGTTGAAGACAATGTTTACGAGCAAAAGAAAAACTCAAATTGGAAAATTTAAACCTTACAGATATGAAAGGTCTTCACTTCTAAATATACCCTCCAGAATCAACATGCATTTGGGTCAAGTTTCTATTTGGGGTCTACTTTAAGTTGAACAATTTTAGAATCATTCTCCATTTTTTCCACATAAATGCTCTTTCAAATGTTTGAGAATTTGAGTAAAAAAAAGGAAGCTCATAATTTGTAGTTTGCAACACCATTTGTCACACCTGCACAAATTTTTAACTCATTTGTGATTACAAAAAATGTTTTGCATGCAATTTAACAAAAAAAACAAAAAAAAATGAGTGATGTTCTCTCCCATTGTTTTCTCTTTCTCTCTCTCTCTCTCTCTCTTTCCGATTTTGCTCTTCGTATTATTCTATCTGAGTCTGTCTCTCTTTCCCTCCTCTGTATTATCTATCATCTTCCATTCAAGTATTAAATAACACGTTTCTATCTCATTTCTCAATCAATCTGCCTCTTCCCCCTTTTCTTTCACCCCACCACACTTTCATTCCCTTTGCTTTCTTCTTTTCTCACATCATTTGAACATTCATGTCATGAATACAGGTACTTCGGCATGAGACCTTGGCCCAAACAGAAATCTAACCCTGCTTCTAACTTGTTGGTTTAGCGGTAAACGGAGAGGGATATCAAACTACCATTAAAACAGACCTGAAACCCATCAAAGAGGCAGCTAGGACTGCAAGGAATCTCTCCACAACATTCAGACATTATTCTCCCTCCTATACTCTTTTCACACTGGTTTTGCTTAACCCCGTACTTTGCTTAGCCCCGTACTATCCTTAACCCAGGACTATTTTGTTTGGCTTTTCACACACGCTGTTTTTAGTCCCGGACTAGCGCCTATTCCGGAATAAGAAAATTCATGCTATTCTCACTGCAATCCGTTAACCCCGGATATCGTGAATGTTATGATTGGACATATACTTCGCATCTGGCCAGCTGCGATACGCTCCATTGCGTAGTACCAGACTATTTTTCGTTTCTGTTCTCATTCATTTGCTTGGCACCGCAATTGCGGGGTTAGCAGGAGTTAGCACCACAATTGTGGAGTTAGCCCTGCTATTTTGCAGGGTTAGTTAACCCTGTACTATAGGTGGGGTTAGCCAACTTTAGCCCACTTTGGTAAAAGCCAGTCTGAACAGAAAGTGGAATAGGCTTAACCCCGTACTATAGGTGGGGCTAAGACCCCCCCCCCCCCTTAACCCCACCTATAGTACAGGGTTAAGCAAAATATTGCCAGTGTGAAAACAGTACTACATGTTTGTATGGCAATCTTGTCATCAGAATCCCAACTCTTGAGACATAATTCAGCACATTTCAGTGAAGGCAGATTTAATAGCAGTGTTTGTAGCCTGTGAAATGAATTTAATGCTAACAGCAATTATCATCACTTGTAGGGAGTAAGGACCCCCCCCCCCCTCCTACACTTAAAAGGCAAAGGGGGAGGGGGAGAGAGAGAAAGGAAGAGTAGCGAGGGAACTTGAAATTAAGATGATACAAGTACAACCCCTCCAATACCATCCCCTCAATCTAGTGACAAAATGCCCTTAATTGTTCTCTCACATTTCCTTCTTCTTCAAGTACCATAAGCATCAGAACAACATGTCATCTTCCAGAATAGAAAATTCCAAAAGTTCGATTTTCAGAGCATGCTGATATATAGAATCCTCTTTTTTATTGAAATGAATAAAAGGACTTTTGGAAAAGTGCCATAAGTCAATTTTTTCTTCTTATATACCTTTTTTGTTCAAACCTCAAACTCACATAGTCAAATTTCTTTGAACTTTTTCTGGTGGGGCAGGAAATGGGTGAAATAAATTACCATATATATCACAAACAGAGAATGACTCCTGGTATTCAATAGATGCTATACCATACAGAAGTGACAGGTGATTTACGATTCTCTGAGGCACAGTATGATATCATTCTTTAAGATATTATTAGAATAAGCTCACAAAGAATTTTTGAAAGGCCAGGAAGAGTTTGCTCATAATGCAAAAATTACTGTATGGGGTCAGACGGATGGGAACCTAGAATTCTATTTCATTCTGTATGGAACATGTATACTTTCGATACTTCAATTCCAATATATTTCAAGCAATGAACATTTCAACTATAACTATGTGTCCATTAAGAAGAAGTCATGCAAACTGCATTTAATAGACACATATCTTTCTGAAGAAAAAATATTATTTTTTATCAATAGATGTGCAAAATACAGTGTGTACAACTGCGCCAAAATCTCTTGTTTGCCTATCAAACCAGCCTAAATACTGAAGGTACTAGCTTTTTTTCTTGCAAACTAAAGTGACAACCTAAATCATATTGCATTTTCATCTTTTTGTCAGGAGAAAAACTGACAAGGTATCTGAAGGTGAAATGTAAATAGAGAACAAGTTCAAATATATTTCATGAGGGTCATTAATTTGGCTGCTCATAACACTCGCGACATAGAGTTTGCCGCTATACCCTACAACCAGTGAAAAATCTTTCATGAGCTCTGGAAACTTAAAGAGAGATCAGGTATAAAAACAACAAAATACATGAAATCACGTACTGCAAGAAACTCTAACTTTTACTCCAAACAAGAGCTTCTGTGACAAGAAAGCACAGCAGTGTATATTTTCTACTGCTGTTTTGCTTAGTAACCAGTGAGCTAAATTTCACCAGTAGTGCAATGCTGGTCTAAGTTTCCGAAATTGAAAGTTGTAATCCACACTGCAATGAAACATTTGATCGTTTCCATGGCCTGGCAGTAATGAAGTGTCATCATACTTCGTTGAGACTGTTTTGACGGGAGAAATACCCACTGGAATAAGAATTTGGCTTGTCTAGCGCTCGATTTTGTTTTTGGGGGGCTGCGTGTGGTGGAGTAGAGGCATATGATGACAAATAACGGCAATCAATAACTTGGAGCAGGGCAATGGTATGTAACGTAATTGTCAAAATGGATTAATGTTTGACTGATGATTATTTAAGTAATCCACAGCAAATCACATTTTCAGCATTTCAAGGTTGTATTAAATATCAATAATGAATTATCTCTCATTACAAGTCGTTTCAGTTTTTGAAGTACAAGAATGATGCATGTATGTGGCATTAGAAAAGTTCATGACATCACAGAGAGCCCCCCCTCCCACCCCCCCCCCCCCCCAAAAAAAAAAAAAAAAAAAAAAAAAGCACAGAAACAGATTTTGCCCCTGGCTAAATAAGTCAGATCTGAATGAAACATTTCCATTTAAAAAGAAACAGTTTTACAACACAACAAAAGGAATTTGAAAGAACTCAGTATTTGTTGTTGTAATTGTATTAAGAATAAGAATAAGAAATACATTTCTGTAACCATAAATGTGGGATTTGATGTTCTTTCTGTAGATACAATCTTGAACCAAAAATATGATACCGGTACCTTCTTTCGTAAGTACTTACTACACATACAGCAAACATCCTAAACAATACATGAGGGATCTAAAGACCTTTCAGGATAAATGATTTGTGTCAATCCCTTTATTTTTTTCTACTGTGTAAGAACTGTTTATACTGGTGGGAGCATCTCACAATAAAATTAAAAAATGTCTGGTTGAGAGCCAAAAGGGCATTAACTCATACCATTTCACATAGAGTTAACGCCCCTCTGGCTCTCGATACTTCATTAAGGTTTCATATCCCAACCACACCAACAAGACCCAAGACCAGACTGACAAGGGACCAATGGAGACACGAATGGCCAAGAATCGGTCAGTCTGACTGAGGCATAAGTTGGACATTGATACAGTGAAACCTGTCCATAGCGAACGCTCAAGGGAAACACACAATGTGGTCTTTGTAGACAGGTTCCTTTAGTACATGTTTCAATGAGAAACCATTTTCAAGGGAACAAAAAATGTGGCCTTTGTAGACAGGTGGTCACTAAAGCAGGTTTAACTGTACACCATTGGTGTCTGCTTTTGCTACTCACATTGCACTGCATAGGCGAAGAGTTCTGAAGCCAGGTTAAAGCTGCATGGAAGTCTCCCTTGAAGCATATCCATCTTCAGCTGGAGGAAGAACTGGTATCTAGTCACCTCCTCTGATAACCGACAGGGATCCTCCACGTAGAACTTGACCCCAAAGTACATGGTCATCGGACTCACGTCTGAGATGAGGATGAGTACGTAGAATGGGATGGAAATAATAAGTCAGATTGTTAGGTAACTGTTTAACTCTCCTTATAAAACCCAAATGGAATGAATCCTACTCAATCAGCTAAACCTGATGCAAGTACATGTATTAACATTATGCCACACAAAATGAAAACTAATGCCTTGGTCTCATTTCCTTTGTTAAACTCAACTTTAGACTGAGCTCACATTCATCAACAGGTTTAAAATTATTAGAATAGGAAACTATGCATACAAAAAATATTACCTCTTTACTCTCTATGGAATAACTTGATTAGGTCTTTACCTCTGATATAAAACTAAACAGACTGTATAGACTATAGTAAAGTACTTTCTCTTTGGAAATTGTAATGTTACTTTGGTGATCTGCCATGCCACTTAAAAATGAGGGTTTCTGAAATGATACTGGACGGTACCTTTTTGAGTATTTATAGCACCTACATGTACATGTACAATGTAAATGTATGAGAATTATTCCATAATAAATTTAGAGAGGTAACCTACTCAAAATCAAACACATCATTACTCTGTAACCAAGAAAAATTCACATAAATACACTGATACGTGTTACTTCATAGTAAAGCCTTTTTCAGATACAACGTGGCAAAACCGCTGCATTTCTTTAAGATGATGTAATGGTAATATGCTTCACAATTTTGCACACTTTTTGTTATAGCACAGAGCTACAATTTAAGTAGATCAGGCATCTTGTTGCAAGCAGCTGCCACTCATTCACACGTAAAACATCACGGTGGTTAACCTAGTCACATCTGAACAAGCCTTAAAGACAACACTAAGTAAAGTAACCTTGTGTGAATATACCATATCAACTGAGCTTTAATTAAAAGCTCGTAATAAGCAGTAAACCATACCATAGATTGTTCCACTTGGTTGACAGTGTTTGAAATTTGAAATACCAAAAGTTAACAAATAAATGACAGAAGCAATATCAGAATACTATTGTATTGTAAAAAGAGAGCAAACAATTCAACTTATAAAATATATTTCCTTTATATAATTATACCCTTCATCAATCAAGCTCTTGGGAAAAATTAAATTAAAAACAGCTAAATAGTACATACTAACAAATCTTACTCACTTTTTAACTGCTTTACTACTTGTTTCTCAGGATTCAACCAATGCTGTAATAAAACGAAATATAAACAAAAATCGTGTCCTCTTATTACTAAATTTTAATTTTATTCAAAAGTTTGACCAAACACATTCATTCTTGTATATCCATAGCCAAAATGAGCACTCATCAGAAATCAAAATGCTGTAAAAATATTGCAACCATAGTAAAACTCTTAACTAGTCTGTTCATTGATAATGATTTATTCACTGTAAATTCAGAATCACTGAAAGACTGTATTTAAAGATGCAAAAGTAAACTTTGTATCAAAGAATTTTAATTCTAATTCACTCTTGCTGTAATATAGTGAAATGCATGAAAACCTTTGCGAGGTGTATTTGCCAGTGATTTTGCAATAGGTGTTTAATCATTGAATTTTGCAATCAATTTTCAATTACTTAATATCTAATTGTGAACAAATATTTATATTGATAGCATTGAATTTTCAATAACGATTATGACTGGAATATAAATGAACTCACACCGACCACCAAGGATTAGAGTCAGTGCAATATGTTTTTTTTTTATTATAAATTATCAACAAATTGTATTATTCTACGCAAATTTGCAATATCATTCACATTATTTCTTAATTCATTATGAAATTCAACTCTTAGATTTCCAATATTTTCCACCAATGACAAAAAATCAACCCTTCGGCATGCCAATTTCGCAATGGTATGGTTTTAATGTTAATTTCAAAAGTATATTTTTAGAATGTTTCAGTTAAGATTTTCATTGCTTATTAATTTAACGATACTTGCCATTATTATTGTCATTTGATCACTTTTATTTGAATTTCATCGTTGATTGCTTGGACTGTTTTAATAACTATAGTATAATTGCTTTTATCTGCGAAAATGGATAATATTCAATTAAATCCTTCAATCAATAAAAATAATAATATGCAATGAGATATTTATCAATTAACTATAACTTTGATACCTACATACATGTATGTGTGCACCTCAAAGATTACAATCATCAAGAGAGTAGGGGTCACATTTTTTTGATACATCTGATCCATACTGAAATTGATTTCAATACTGCTTACACAAATTCAAAATGGCATGCTTTTAACTGCATCTAGAACATTATGGTGAAAGGTAAAGAAACTATACTTTGACTACAAAAAGACACATACCGGAATTCAAATGTAGCAATACCATTTACATGTAGGAACAGGTGCAGGGATGGGTAATTACTTACAGTTTGGTTGTCTTTATCGATGAACCTGAGTCCAAAGAAGTCTGTTTCCAGTAGATTCATGTGACTGTAGACTCTGTCTAGAATATCACTTCCTCTCATCTTAACCTGAATGTAGGAGGATTAAAACACAAGTTAATGTACACATGAATAAAATATGCATGGTAAGTAATTACTACATGTAAAAGGAGTATAAGAAATACATATTTCCTATTCTTATTAATACACTGTACATTTAATCTTTTTTAATGTTAATCATTTGTTATCTTTCTTCATTCTTTGTTATGTACTGACTGTGAAGTTGACATGGAATATTGTTTCAAATACTGTAATACATGTATGTTCTGTTTTAATCAAATTTGGAAATATACTTTGAACTTTAAAAAAAAAAAAAAAAAAAAAAAAAGTGATAGTACTAGAGACTATTTAAAGCTTATCAGTGCTAGTTTACAGGAGGGATTAGACCGCCCTGCAAGGTCACTGGACAGGTGGTTATCTCATCAACTCAACTCTCAGTTAACATAAGAAAAAGAGGATCATGGGGGACCAATGGTCACTGATTAGGCATTGTTTAATATAGAGAGGGTGCAAGTAGCTACAAGTAAACCCAAATGTCTAATAATAGCCCTTGTAAAAGAAAACAAAATCTGTGTTGTTAACATATTCTGTCAAAAGGGGTATAACATACATTTACCTGTTTAAAATTACAAAATTAACATAGCAATTATAACCCTATAATTAAAACAAATCTATGATTTTGAAGTTAGTATTCCCAATAGTGCCTAATACATTTAGTTACATTTATATTCTAGTTCAGAAAAAAAGCGAATAATGAAAAGTGAGACTGGCAGAGAGCAAGAAAGACATGAAAGGGCAAAAACACAAAGAGATAGTAAGAGAGAAGATGAATACTTTGTAGAAAGCAACAAAGCAAAGAGTACAGTAGCTACAAAATGCTCAGAACTCAAAGGCAATTCATTTCATACAAATTCATCTCACGTATATTTCAAACTTGACAAAGGAAAGCACAAATGTAGAACTGTAAAATACTTGATGGGTGACCATTTTGATAGATTCACAGCTCACAATGTACCAAAACATACCCATTAAATCCTCCCCTTAAAAGTTGTCAGTCCAACAAAACAACTCAAGATTTAAAAAGCGATTCATGGGGAACCAAACAGAGCAAAACCCTACCCCCTTGTCTAAAACCTGCGTCACTCTCTGCTTGGTTGATTTTCTAAAGCCCCTCGCTAACACAAACTCGCTCATAAAGTACCATTGAGGTGTATTTATTTTTAAAGCATTCACCGGCAAAGTACAGGTAATAGACTGAATGCAACAGATTTGTTTTTAAGTGTCTTCTTTTATGAAAGATTACATGAACAAATTGTACAAATCAAACTTCATCCTTCAAATTCACAATAAAAAAGTGTGCTTTTCACTTTGGACACTGTATTTTATGGCCGCTGCCCCTATAAAAGTACACAAAGCCTTACTGGGTTTTATTAGTTCATCGTTAGGATACTGAAACAGAGTGGTCGGTAGAAAACATGTATTTCGTTGACATGCTACACGTAAATGTGCAAAACAATAATATTTTGCTAAATATGGGTGTGTACTGTTGCTTGTAAATGTATGGTTTGTGGATAGCAAGCAATAGGTGCAGAACGAACAAAATGAAAGTGATACTGGTTATTTATACGACCACAGTACAACCTTTGGATACCTAGTGGGACTTTCACACTGCAAATTTAGCCATAACAAGCATCAAAACACTTAAATTTTAAGTTTTTCTGCATTGATATCTTTACATCACAGAGTATAACACTGTACTTCAATCTTAAGGATTTGCATGCATAATATATATTCAAAATAAAATTAATATGAACATCCAAAGTCAATGTCATTATATTTTAAAAGTTAAAATTTAACAGTTCTTGATTGATAAAGATATCCTTCAATCTTCCAAATTTATCAAATGTATCATCCAATATATTTTAATTTGTATCTATCATAGCTAAAAAAAAGTACCAGCATAGTCAATTGACCATCATGTTATCACTGCCAGTAACCACAGCAACATCTATCAACAACAGCACAGGGTAGATACTGTTGGTTTATTTCGAGTGAGTGGAGATATTGAATTAGCTTTTATTATGGATGCCAGACTTCTCCACCTGAAGTTCACTGAATATCAATATGATTCTCATCTCTAGATCAAACACTATTCATCGGTGGCAGCGGGAGAGCTTTTTCATCAGAGCAGGGTGCTCTGAACTTACAGTTCCTGAATGTGTGTCATACAACATTTTTCACACGAAAGGACAATTTGTATAATGTCACATTCATTAACCTTTAGTGAAAGTATACTAGAGCGTATGTAAATATATTAGAGTGTATACCAGAGCTGCCAACCTCCAGAACAGAAAATCAGTAATCACAAGGCTCAAAATCCATAATTTTGGGAATAAATCAGTAATTTCCTAAACGGCGCTATGAATCTGTAAAACAACGGCATGCCAACACTGCGCGGAAGGATGAGCACATGATTGTTTGAAATTTTAGTGATTTTACTCACACAAAGTTGCTAAATATTGATTATCAGGTCATAACACATTAGCAACAACAACAACAACTTTTTTTAATTCCGTAATTCCGTAATGATCGTTAATTTTTTGTACCAATTACGGATTTTTGTACCAATTACGGGAAATCCGTACTAGTTGGCAGCTCTGGTATACACAGGATTTATAAATGCATAATTCATTGATAAGAGTAAATAATGTGTGCAATGGTCATGACTTGACCCCGTTTTCTTATCAAGTTCTTGTTTAAACCTATGCTCATTTTGCTATATGATATTTACCCAACGAAAAGATAATTATGATACTGTCCTCATCGCATGAAATGTTATATACTGTACTTTTGCTTTTTTGAAGGGGGAATTAGGGGGAGGGTGTAAAAACTATTCCTGAAATTAATGCCTATATTAATGTGCTCTGGGCTTTAATTATCCTGAAGTTATTTAAGTCATTATAAATAATAAAGGGTTTGGGCTGGGGTTCCCATTGGCTGAGGTTAAATGAAGGCTAACACATATTTATGTGTAGTCATGGCAGAGTCGTGGAGTTGAATATACTTCCAACACCATGCCATCAATCGGTAGTTGCCTGTATTGTTGAACCCTCACTGCTCAATACCCCCATCGAGCTTTAAAACAGAGACTCGCGATGACAAGATGACTGGTAAATTAATAAGCGCCTGAGGATCATGTGTTACCCCCTTGTGTGTCAGCTTGGGTAACAGTCCATGGACACTCTCCGTGGTGTCTGGCACATCAAATGTGATCCTCATCGTGACTGACAGGAGAGTCAAGATTTGAAAAAAATTGGTTAACTTGCCAAATTAATGATTTGGGAGGATTATGCGGACGTGTTGGAATGAGGCCGCAGGGAATGGACGGCAGGAAGAAAACTTGGTAGCTAAGTTTGATAACATGTCAAGGAGTAAGCCTTTATATATAAAAATAGTGTCTCAGTTGACAACTACCATGTGCTACACATGTACAATGTACATGGAGTGTATAAAGGTAACAGTAGAGAAAAGGACACTGTTCATTTATCTGTTGTAAAATGAATGTATGTTGTATACTAGGAATAAATACACAGATTTGTCACATCAAACTATACAACTATACTGCCTGTTTTATGAATCCTTCATCTGTATAAAAACTGTCCAAATATGCTTTTATTACCTGAAGCTGGCTGGTCAAATATAGGGGGAGGGGGCCTTTCATCTCCATTTCCCCTTCCCATAGTTGATGTCAATGTTAAAGTTGATACTCTAAGCAAATAAATGTCCCTTAATTTGTTACCTACGGCAAGTATATGTTATTTTTAAGTTTTTCAATTACTTAGTATATCACAAAAAAATTCTGTCTACTCGAGATCCTCAATTGAAATGTCTAAAATATCCGCCTCTCTTTGCATAGAAAATCAGTCACGACGCTGGTCTACTATTTATGACCTCACGTCCGGGAGAGAGTATATTCACGTACCCGGATGTTCCATAGCAAACATGTGCAGAGTGATACGATTTTCTGCATATTTTTGTTTCAAAGGCTGAAAAGTCTAATAAATCATAATTCTATGTACAATTCTTTACCTTCCCCTAGTACTTCATAGTATTAATATCAATTCCCCTTTTATAAATTATGACATATACATGCCAACGATGTGCTATTAGTCGATATTTTCACCATGTAATTTTTGTTTTGGTGTTGAAATCGGCCCAGGCACGGAGTGAACAGTAGCTGTCTACCCATGCACAGTTCATTACACTGCAGCGATCTCCCGATGGTTTCTTCTTCCTTTTTCCCATGTCTTTCGCCTTCCTTGGCCCTGAACATCCTTCATCTACCAATTCTGACACCGGTAGTCCGGAGCAAGTCTTTGTTAGTTGTTTTTCTTAGCTGGCAACGTCACTTTCATTCTCTTGCAATTGCCGATAAACATATAACTAGCGCACGTACGTTCCATCACAAGCAAGCAGCGCCTAGAGCAGCGGCTTGGTCTTACCTCCCGATTCTGCTCGCTCCACGAACGTTCATGCAAGAGCCGCATCACTCGCCAAAATATTATAGAGGAAGCGCGCTTGCATGATCTCGTTCAAGTTTGATATTTTACAACATAAAATGTTTAACTGGTACTGTATCCTTTTTTGAGGCAGTCACACACATCTATGATAAGTACTATCATAGTTCTAGACCTATTCGTTTGACAAAACTGCTCATGTACATCTGATGACAATAATTTATCCGCCTAATAATGCATCCGCCTATTCATAAGTGCACGATTCAACTTTAATTCCTAAGCAGTAAACTCGTCTTAAATCTCTACCAAATAGGTGAATATGAGGATATAAAAAGAAATCAGCGACTGGAAAATGTTGCTTCGTTATTCTTCATTCAAATGAAAACAGAAAATCCATCAAATATACTCCTTAACAACAACAAATCTAAGCTCTGACAGGATAGCATTTACGTAGGGATATCACTGCCATTCACTCTCACTGAGCCCATGACTCCCGTTCGTGACGTCACGGATAGAGGCCCGACTCTACGTGCACTTCCGGGTTTCAGACTTAGATATTTTGGTAGAGTTTACTCTAATAAATTCATTATTCTAAACTTGTTTTGTCGGGTGGACACCATTTGGTGTTATTATGGGGGTTAAAAGCTTCCTATTTATGTAATTATCTCAGTATTTGGGATTGTCTTAGAGTATCAGCTTTAAGGTTTATCAAGTATACACATGTACATGTGTATAACAAGATTCTACATCTGTTTCAAACTTTCGAACATCCTTGTAGAAGACAAGGCAAAAGGAAAAAAAAAGTGGAATACAATTTAAAAGTGTTAGTGGGAAATAAAGCAATATGGTACATGGTCATGTGTAACAAAATTGGGAAAGAAGTTATGGTTGAGAGATCTTGAGTAACAACAAATGAAAGACTTCTGTTTCTAAATTTGTTTTTCTTTTGTTTCCCAAGTCTCAAGAATGCAGAAATTCTTTTACAGCCTCTTAGTCTCAAATTTGGGGGTAGACAACATGGCTGTTCGTTGACTGGGCTCGATGGGGGACAAAGAAATGAATAACAGTTAAGCTCCAACTGATTGCAGGTACATTTAGCTAAATAATCCACCATTGTATAAATGATCTAGTTACAAAGATGTAAAGTCCCTCTCAAGCACCAATGAATTCTCAGTGGCATAGTAAATACTACAATGTACTAATGGCTCATAAATTCTTGGAGGGGGGGGGTAGCAAATTCTTCTATAAATCTTTATTTCAAATTTAAAAGGTATGTTCTATAATCCTAATTAGTGTACTTCTTTCCCAATGTCCGGTGACATGTAATTTGTCAAGTATTCATGAGCAGTAGGGGGGGGGGGGGGGTGGGGGAAGGGGGAAGGGGGAGTCAAAAATGAATGTTCATTAATTCAATATCAAATTGGCTTCATTAGGGCCTGGATACATACACATAGTATACAGAACTGTAGATTACTCAAACATTTGCAAAGATTATGTTTTTGCATGAAAAATGTGTACATACAGTATTATCTTGATGGAAAGTTCACTGTCAAAAAATCAAACACATCAACTTCTTTTTCTCTTCTTTAAAACCATGTCAAGTTTGTCAACACTCTGAAGTAGACTCCCCTGTGACTCCTTGTTTGATCTTGGGCAGGGTGCTGAAATGAGCGACAATTAGGAGGAACATCCATGGAGTAAAGTTTATTCAAACAACAAAAGGCGAGGTGACATTCTTTCACCATGTAAATTCAAGGTGGAGTGGAGAAATATTTGTTCATCAATTCTCTGTAGCTGCCTGTCAGTCAAAGGAGTTATTCTGACGAATCAAAAAGGTGAGAATTTCAAAGCAAATATCAATATACCTCAGCTGCTCAGAGCCAATATTCAATTCTTAGGAAATCATAATATTTGCAAATTGTGGAGATTCTTAAACATGGACTTGAGCAGGGACGTACATGTACATGTACAGGCCGAAGGTTTATTCTGTTTGAAGAATATTCATATTACTCAATTATGCTTAACCTCAAGTTCCTCGTGTCATAGTCATATGTTAAGAGTGAGGAAGGTTAAATTGTATAATTAACACAGAATTAAAGTTATTTTTTTCAGTTTTCCTCCAAGGTCTATTATTATAGAAAATGATAAAATATGCAAGATTTACAGTCACAGACAACTTGGCAAAGTACTTTCAGTTACTGGTATATTCACTTGTAGCAGCCATAGAAGTGATAGGACAAAATGAGGCTAGGGTTATATACCCTCTCTTACATCCTGCACAACTAATTCAATAGAAGTTAATTGTTCTAGGTTGCATTGTCTTTCTTCAGAGGTATATCAATAATTTAGGGCAATAGTATTCACTGGCTTCACGATTTAAAATTAATATCATCATAATCGGCACCATCAGCATTAGCAGTAGTAGTAGTAGTAGTCACTATCACCATCATCACTGAATGCATCAAATAGGACTACTATACAACAATCGTGTGAGAAAACTGAAAATGCCAACCCACCATCATTAATGGTATTTATAGGCGCATCAGGACAATGACAAGCAGCCACACTACATTGTAGATGCCTGCTTCTTTACATCGAACAGACATCCTCTAGTGACAACTTTTTCATGAACATTGCAAACGACATTCCAAGATTGGACCCATCCAGTCTACCGTCATATAGACTACTTTTCCTAGTTTATACAGCCATAGAAATTTTACCTCAAGTTGAAAGTCATTAAACAACAAAAAGCTCCCCGACTGTATAGCATTTTTGGCTAGACTTTCAAAGAATATGCATTTTGAAACATTTTAAATGCTTCTTTTAGTCATTCACCTGTACCAGACTGCTGTAAAAGAACACTTGTTGTCCCCATACCCAAGTCATCTCAACCTGCTATCCGTAACCTTAGGCCGGTTTCTTTAACTGATCATATTTTCATTTCATTTTTTAAATCAAAAATGGGTCAACCTTTATATAAGGATTATGTTTACTTTCAGGTTGCAACCTATTCAGTTTATTTTATGTCATTATGTTATATATCTGATTGTATATATATATATATATATATATATGTAATGTTGTCTTTTTAACTGAATGAAATAAAATTGAATTGAATTGATTGAATTTTGGCAAGGTAGCTGAAAACTTCATTGCTAGATGGACTTTCAGCAATATGGAGGACACCATAGATTCAGCACAATTCGGCAACATAGTCTATAACTGTCAATGAGGTTCGTCTACATTCATGTATTAAGAAAATTGCAGTTTAACTGAGTAGTATTGTTATGAGAATCAGTGCAATTAGTGTGTAATCCCCATCTCTATACCCTCTATCTGTTTCTGTCTCTTGTTTACACGGTACACCGTCTCTTTCTTTCCTCCCACCTCCATCTCTGCATGGACCTGTTATAGGTCCATGCTCTCTGTAAACAACAACAACAACAAATCTCATATTTGCTGGAATTCGTCATCACCTGATGCTATGCCTATTGTGACCATTACGCCATCTTACAGCGCTTAGAGACCTCGGTGAAAAGCACTTAAAGATAATACAAAGTTTTGGTATACCGTAGGCTGGTTCAAATGAGTATATTGGAAGCATATATGCGATCCTACAATATTCAGTGATCTTTGTCGCGGTTGAAATCTAATCTAAAGTTATGAAATTGTAAATAATAAACTCTTTAAGATATATAGCTCCTTCTCAAGGTCAAGATATTAATTAAGCTATAAAACAATGTTTCTTGACTATAATCGACCAATTAGCTATTCCTTTTTGGAAGTTATATATCACAACTACATATTCTGAGATTATCATGGTCGCAGCTACCATTGTACAGCCGTAGGCGCTATTTGAAATTTATCAAAATTTACCGGGTGCACCGGTAAATTTTTATATTCAATTTTTCTCGAAAGCAGAAGTGTTTTAGGGGCTTAATTCTCTAGTGCTTATACATGTAGAACATCCACCGGGGCATCCAAATATATCAAAATTGAAAAGAATCACTATCCACCCAATTTTCAAAATTTCCCAAAACTTTGTATTCTTTTAATAAGCACTGTTTTATTATTATTATCTTTATCATGACAAGCTTTTATTGCTACCCTGGAATTGGCCTGGATTACATGTATGTTGTTTGTCTACATGATATTAATGTTATAAACAATTTATGTATCAATTGTATGTATTCTGATTGTAAAAGAATCTGTGATTCGGCCTTGTGGCCGCAAATGACTTGTTATCAATAAACCTTTCTCAAAATATATTTAACGAAAAAATCACTATTAATATTATCATGGTCACCATCATGTTTTTTTTAATACACTGTACTATTTACAACTATGTTACTTTGTATTTCTTAATATTGTAATTATTATAATTATTAATGTCATTATTACAATTATTATCATCATAATTATTGTTACTGTCATTATTTTCATTCATTCTCTATTTTGTATCATTATTGACATTAACATAATTTGTATTAATTATTATCATTGTTATCATAATTTGTCCACAACCTATAATTCAGCAGGTGGTAGATAAAAAAAATAAAAAAAAAGAACCAGACTTTGGTATTGTATCTAACAAGCCCTTTCCTTACTTTCTAACTTACTGTTCATTCTGTTTCTTTCTAAAGTAATATTAGATCTAATGACCATCTTTTTTTCCTTACCTTTCTGTGTCATTTTGAAATTTAAGGAATCTATATTTTACAGCTGTTTTTATATACAACACTGTATTGTTCACCCACAATCAATCAACAGAGACAGAAATAGATTCACTTGAATTTCAAATGAAAGCAAATAAGATTTGCCTCAGATTCATTTCATAAAACAAAGTCAATTCAATACTTGTTTAGCCTAAATGCTGAAGAATAAATGAAAATAGAATAGTCTAAGACTCTAGGCCTAATATTTATTAGAGAGAATGAGAGAAAATGGAATGAGAGAGGATGTATGTAATCGAGTTAAAATAATTATCTCAACATTATTGAGGTTAGTATGACTGAATAATGAAAAACATCTCAATGCAGATGTCAGATTCGTGCTACATCACAAACTCAATTACATTTCAAGAGATATTCACCTCAAGATTCATGTTTACTTCGGAGCCGTTGAGCAGTTGAATACTGCAGAACGCGTCGGACGTCTGTACACCACAACAAGCCATCTCTAACGGAGAGCCGGCGGCGAGAAGCGAAGTCAACAATCCGTTTGAATTTCAGCTGCTTTGTGCTTTCTAACGTAGATGGGCAATAGCATTTGCGATTGCGTATCTGGCCATGTTTTAATCACATTCACAAAATGATAAAATGAAGGTATTCTTATATCCCGTTAAAAGAGCGTCGATAACATCCATGTGCAATAAATAACTGACAACTTAGTCATCAACCGATGATGAAGAAGCCGCTGAGAACGACGACACCGCCAGGCCCAAGATGAAATTCTGCTTCGAGACGCCAAGATAATTGCTTTGCATACATGCATTCACCTGTGGAGGATCGGTGGTTACCCTTCAGGAAAGGGGGAGCGAAAATGGTAGACATAGATCTATACTATCAGAGGATTTTACCGATGCGAAAAGTATTTTGTTTTAGGCAGATCCTTTTCCATTGATAGTGTCCACGCACGTTACCGACTCGGCCGTCTGTGATTCGAAACTCTGACTATTATGTAGCATTTAAATTCCATTCAAAAATCAATAAATGGTTTACAAAATAATAATTATGTTAATTAGACACTAGATGGCGCTGTGCAAAAATGACGTTTCGACACATCAGTTATTTGCATGGATGCCAATGCGGAGCTCTTCGCTTTGTTTCGTGATGCGCTTCCTAGAGTTTACTACAATCAGGGGCGGACTGGCCAGGCCATGGAGAGTTTGCGAAATAGGCCTATTAATCGTAGGGGTCGCTTACTTTTTTTTGGTTTAACAGTATAAAAATAGGCCTACAAAGTTTTGGGAAATTTTGAAAATTGGATGGATAGTGATTCTTTAAAATTTTGATATATTTGGATGCACCTGTGGATGTATTATAAGCAATACAAAATGTAGCCCCTAAAACACTTCTGCTTTCGAGAAAAGTTGAATATACAAATTTACCGGTGCTCCCGGTAAATTTTGATGAATTTCAAATAGCGCCTACGGCCGTACAATGGTAGCTGCGACCATGAAAATCTCAGAACATGTATAGTTGTGATATATAATTTCCAAACGGGAATAGCAAATCGGTTGATTTTTTTTGTTGTCAAGAAACATTGTTTTTATCTCTTAATTAATATATTGACATTGAGAGAGAGCTATAAGGAGTTTATTATTTACGATTTTAAAACTTAACACTCGATTTCAACCGCGACAACGATCACTGAATATTGTAGGATCCCATATGCTTTCAATATGTTCATTTGAACCAAATTCATGACCCCATACCAAAACTTTGTATTACCTTTAAGGGCCCGTGGCCTAAAGATCGGTTGATCAACGCTACGCAACCATGGCAACTGGATCTACCACTTTTTTTCAATAATTTTTTTTTATTGATTCCAAACAATACAAATCAATCTTAAAAATAAAATACAGTTGTTTTCCTTGACATGATTTCAAAACATTTTCATTACATAGATTGTACGATTGATGAAAACAAAATATGAAATCAGTTGTAACATAAAACAAATAACCCCATCCAACCAAACACACTACTACCCCCCCCCCCCCCCCCCTCTCCCCAGCATGCGACACACACACACCACCCGACCACACTTCCACCACACACTGTTCCTAGCCTCCTCAGATAGAAACAATCTATTTAAACATTTTTTAAATCATTTAAACGTCACGTTCTCTATATTTAACTATTACAGCTGGAATCAAAGGTCGATCAGGATTATTTTTTATTTATTTAACAAGTCTTCTAGTCAGGTCAGAAGATCCTTTTTTATTGGACTGGGAAACAATTGTATTAACTGAGATCGCAAAAATCTTCACAAACTCGGCAGGATTATACACAGCAAGCCACTAGCCTTACTTGTATAAACTATAAAATATAAACTACAAACTTGACAACTTTATTTTGAAGATAAATCTCTTTTTAGTTTTAACTAACGAGACGCGGATATTTGTTCACTCTTACTTATAAAAGAAACCCATATAATACTTCAAAAATTTAAACACCAGGGAATTTCGAGGCTTTTTTCTCATCACATATTGAAATATGATTACATTAGCAACATGTATACGTGCGCTTGAACGGCAGCCGTCAATCTTCACTGCTCCCGATTTCCGCCGTTTTTCCGGATTTTGTTTGAACCAGGTGATTTGAAATGTGTGTCAAACCGACTGGAATATGTCTGTGCTATTACTAGACGACTTTAAAGGAATATTTTTCAGGAGAAACACATTTACTGGCAAATTGTGTTTTTTTAGACATCGAGTGACATGTACATTACGCCATTTTCACCCCGAGCTTTTCATGCTGAATGATTAATCTGAATAGCACCATTCTTCTGGACAAAGAAGGGAAGACTGAGGTCAAAGAGTTCGGACATAGTACAACCCAGGTCGAAAAAACAGTTAGATACCAGTTGAACCAGCTGGTACTGGTACCAGTTGATTCCAATAAATTAATTGGTTTCAATATGGATATTGGAATACTGGAATCAACTGGTAACCACTTGATTCCAGTTGGAATACCAGTTAAGTGAACTGGTTTCAATTTGGAAATTGGTATAATGGATTCAACTGGTACTGGTACCAGTTGATTCCAATTAGTTAATTGGTTTCAATATGGATTTTGGAAACTGAAATCAACTGGTAACCAATTGATCCCAGTTGGAATACCAGTTGATTCCAGTAAAGTGAACTGGTTTCAATATGGCAATTAGTATAATGGAATCAACTGGTACTGGTACCAGTTGATTCCAGTTAGTTAACTGGATTCAATATGGATATTGGAATACTCGAATCAACTGGTAACCAATTGATTCCAGTTGGAATACCAGTTGTCAACTGGTACCAGTAAGGACCAGTTGAAACCACCAATCATGAACTGGTACCAGTTGGATCCAGTCTACCACTTTCCATATTTGAAACCGACGCTAACTTGGAACAGTTGAACAACCAGTTGATTACCAGTAGTGACCATCAATCAATCAACTGATAATCAATGATCAATATTGCTTAGCATCTGGCAACCAACTAAACCACATTTATTTAGACTCTTGCAATTATTTACCCGACATATTATAGACAGTTTATTAAAAAATATATTGTGTGTTTTTTGGTTGAGATTGACTCCAGATATCACCAACATGTCTACCAATGGATCACCGCCGGGAAATGATGACGGCAAGCACAGGAACCCTCGCGTAATGATGTGGTGCGTGTCGCGGTCCGTATCGACGGCAATGACGAAATGTATGAGCTTCGTCGAGGGAGCCGAAGTCTGGCTCGAGCCGTATTACACCAGCAAGGCCGCCGACGACACCCACCACATGCACCACCCCGACAGCAGCTTCCCATTGGAGCTGGAGGGCAACGAGGACTCGTTCAGAGAAACTGCGATAAACTTGGCGCTTGGAGGAGATGATTTCGATCGGGATCACCTCGACCTGTTATCGTAAGGAATATAAAAATGAAGCAAAATAATATATATATATAACAATATAAATAAATGACCATTTTACATGTAAATAATTAATGGGGAGGCGCGATGACTGAGTGGAAGAGCAGTGGTCTTGTATAACCGGGAGTTCCCTGGTTCGATCCCAGCATGGCACTTAAATGTATATGCCACTTCCAACTCGGTGTAAATGGGTATCTGGTAATTGCTGGAGTAATATCCATTGCAGAGCCATCAGTATGGATGCTGATGAGGCTCCCCTGTGTAAACAAAATCATTATTATTATTAAAACCAAGTCCTTTCGTGGAGGCTCAAAGCAATATATCCCCTTGTTGCTTACATTGTATTTACAAGCTCACACATAGTTTACTCTTTTGGCAGTCACATAAAACAAATCAACGCGGCCAACATAATTTAGGGCGCACTGGGGCACTGGTGTCATTCGGGGGCAGTGGGAGATTTACATATAATACAGGGTACATACGGTTAGCAACTAAATTATTCATACACTCACCACGTTTTGTAATTTTCTACGATTGTGAAAAATTGATTTGTCTTGATGTATGTTTATTTAAAATATGACATATTAAAGCTTATATCGAAAAGTAATCAACACAGGCCCTAATGCAACCAGTCCACATTTCATTCTTAAAGGTAATACAAAGTTTTGGTATGAGGTAATGAATTTGGTTCAAATGAACATATTGGATGCATATGCGGTCCTACAATATTCAGTGATCGTTGTCGCGGTTGAAATCGAGTCTAAAGTTATGAAATTGTGAATAATAAACTCTGTATGTTGTATAGCTCACTCTCAAGGTCAAGATATTAATCAAGCTAGTGACTAAAATCTACCGATTAGTTGTTCCCGTTCGGAAATTATATATCACAACTACATATTCTGAGATTTTCACGGTCGCAGCTACCATTGTACGGCCGTAGGCGCTATTTGAAATTTATCAAAATTTACCGGGAGCACCGGTAAATTTTTTTATTCAATTTTTCTCGAAAGCAGAAGTAGTTTAGGGGCTAAGTTTTCTCGTGCTTATAATACATCCACAGGGGCATCCAAATATATCAAAATTTTAAAGAATCACTATCCACCCAATTTTCAAAATTTCCCAAAACTTTGTATTACCTTTAAGTTACAAAAACATCAAACTTAAAAGGGACATAAATAATTTAGTTGTTAAGTGTATCTGTTGTTGCACCCTATAGCCCACCGCTGATAACACGTTGATTAGGGCCAAGCATTTAAACTGATATAATTATGTTGTCATAGGAACGTATATGTTAAATATATCGTGCAGTTTTTACTGAAATATCAGTTTATTTATCAGTTCATAGATTTTTAAACATGCATGATGTTTATATCGAATACAAGTATAAAGACCTACAAATATACTCTGAAATGAAGCACGAAAATAAATGGAATTCGTGAATTAATTATTATTAATCTCTGTCTAACACTAAGTTTGACCGAATAATAAATTCCAAGTTTTGTTATGCTGATCCTTACGGAAGCGTTAAAGTGCCATTCTACTTGACGACATGACGAGATATTTCATCTTGTCAAGTCGACTTAATATCCACATAATATCCACATGAACTTTTTGTGAAGTCGACTTGGCAAGATAATTTATTTCGCCATGTCGACATTACTTTTTGGGTAGTCGACTTGGTAAGATAATATGTCGCCATGACGACATGTATGTTTTAGAAGTCGACTTGGTAAGATAACTTATGTCGCCATGACGACATGAACTTTTTGTGAAGTCGACTTGGCAAGATAATTTATTTCGCCATGTCGACTAATAAAAGTTGATAAGTCGACATGGTAGGTTAAATATCTTTACATGTCGACATGATATGGATATTAAGTCGACTTGACAAGATGAAATATCTCGTCATGTCGTCAAGTAGAATGGCACTTTAACGCTTCCGTAGATCCTACTTGTATTGAATCGCATATTTTTATTCTCCTGATTGTCCTTCTCTTTCTCTTTCCTGCCAAGGCCGGTGTCATTAAAACGCATATTCGATAATTTGGATCCCGCTAAAAAGTTTGTTTTCATCAAAGACTTGGCGTTGGGGATGCCACCGAGTCGCTTTCCGTACCTACCCGACCGATCAAGTGGTATTAAGCACTTCTTCCTCATCAGACATCCCGTCAAAGCCTACAAGTCGTTGCGCAAATGTCTGCTCAATTTCATACTCCCCTCTGATCCTGCATCTGAAGATGTGGGAATTAAAATGCCCGATGAGAAGACTTTCCATATCATCAAGGACATACCTTCGCCGCGGGAAGGAACGCTGTACAACTACCAGGCCATTCACGAGCTCTGGAGCCACATCAGGAAGACGGTGGATAAGGACCCGGTGATTGTAGACATCGATGAGGTCCTGGAGAACCCGTCGGCGATGATGCCGCGATTGTGCAACGCGTTGGCGATCCCGTACTCTAAGAGTCTGCTGTCGTGGGACGCATCGTCCGACGTCGTCCTGAAGTGGAAGAGCTCGTGTTCGAACGTCCGTGATTCTCCCAGGTACGCCATGTGGTTCACCAATGCCTTCAAGAGCTCCTGTTTCAAAGCTTCATCGACCACGGCATCCCTCGATGACGCCACTGATGATATCAAGGAGGTTGTCGAAAAAGAAATGCCTTTCTATGAGGAGATGTATAATCTAAGATTAACCATTTAACGACGTTTTCCAATTGTATCCCAGCTTGCAAGACCTATGTCAGGACAACTACACCACTTGGACCCGACCCAGATAATCTACCTCGGACATATACCTCCCGGATAACTTGGTAACTCATAGAGATCCTGTGTTAGAAGGATCTCTATGGCATAATAGTTCCTTCAAATACAGGTCCGGATACAGGTGTATACATATTCACGTGTCACAACTATATCTCTCAGTATGCTATGCGATAACTAAATATCTCCCTCTATAGAGAACAACATCAGAGTTATCAGTTTGTTAAAAGTCCAATAAAACCTTATCTGGGGATGTTTTCCAAGATCAGACTTTGTCCGATTGGTCCTCAACAACATAAATCGAAATGCAAATCATATCAAGCTGATCTATATAATTATATGTTATATCACAAAATGATAATATCTGGTAAAATATTTGGTGAACACCCCTCCCCCCCCCCCCCAACAAAAAGAAGATTATTCAATACAAACATACTTACTCTGTAACTTCTCACGTTTATTTTAATCGTTAAGAAGACCTTCCCACACTTTGCAAAATTCAATGAACAGAACGAATCAATAATGCCAATGACTTTTAGTAATATTTTAGTACTGTGAAATCCATTCATACGCATAACACCCGGAAAAATAAACATCTCCGTCCACCCCTTTAAAAAAGTATGCATATAATTATCTTAAAATTCCATTACAGTGAATGGTTCAAAGCTGTGGAACAATTTACCGTCCTACTTCTCTGAACACTTTAACAAAACCCTTAAAAACATAATTTAGAAGCTCATAAGTAAAAATTGGATCGTAATCTATTATTAGGGCATGCGGGTTCGTGCAGGTTTAAAACAAAAAGTAAATGCTTTGTAGTAATCTCGTGCTTGTTTTCATGGAGCCACCGTCTTTTCGTCTATCTTCTTTGTCTTCTTTTCTCTCATTATTTATTCTTATCTACACTCCTTTCCCCCTTTCTCTCTACCCCTCTCTTTCTCACTCTCTCTCTCTCTCTCTCTCTCTCTCTCTCTTCTGTACTTAGTCAACCGAATTTCTCTGTTTTTTAAAACCTTATAGAGTTATAACTTTTCCACTTTTCAGTATGTTAATGCTCAAACCTTATTTGTGTTCCTTTTTTTTATTTACAACTGTACTATCATCTATTTTCTACGTGGGATATACCTTTCCCAAAGGCCTCTAGGCCTTTTTAGGTGTGCCTCGCAAAACATTTCTACTGTAAAACACAACATTTTATTTAATCCCAGATATATTTTACCAATATTTGTATGTATTACTTTATTGTTTTACGCATTAAAAAATGTTTCTACGGTAATCATAGTTTTGGGAATAAAGACAAAATGAAATATAAACTAAAACAATTAAATATTGGACAAACGGTGCGCATAGTATAAAAATGTTAATCCATACAATAATTACAATACCATTTAAATTTCTTAATTAATATATATAGAGAGAGAGAGCAGAAAGTATGATGTGATAATTATGTTACTCTAACGATAATATGTATACACATGTTAATTCATCCACGTATTGGCAGTGTTCGACAGTGTAGAGAGTTAGAAGCATGATTATAATGCATATTTTGATCACCAAATTGTCACCGTGACCATATGCTATTATTATAATAACATTACTGATATGTTGTACTCTTAATTAAAACAGTTGAAATAAAGATCCGTGAGTATTTCAAATTACTTTATTTCGACTCAACGATTACGTATAATTATATAATACTCTAAATGTATTCTTATATTATTTTGACGTTTCTAATCTATAGTATAGGAAGTAAAAATACTATTTATAATATGTATGACCATCATAATACTTGTTGGCTTCCTATTCATGAGTATATTAATTTCTAAAATATGATCCTATCAAAGGCAGTTATGGCCATATAAATTGTATTTATATTCCTATGCCGTTATAAACACTTTTCATAGATTTCTTTATTCTTGCAATATTACGTCGTACACGATTATGTTTCGTTATGCACAGAATTGTAATTAATGAAATGGAATAAATATGTTCATGACATTTGTGTTAACAAATACGTGTATACGTGATCATTTCATTCGTTTTAAACTCTGTGGTGTATTTTGTTTTTCAGATTTTTATTTTTATTGAGAAATCCATTATACGCCTTTACGTTGATAAACACAGCTAAAGAGGCTCAGGGTTCATAAGCTGTGTCGTCTCTGGGAGGACCCAGGTTCGTAACCAAGTAGATTAGTTACAGTGCCCTAATTTTGTAAGGCATTGATCCTCATTATACACATCCCTCGGAGTGGACTAAGAGCCATCGGTCCCCTCTTGCTCATCTACTTACATGCTTTCTTGGCAGTCAGGTAACATAAACCATGGCGATTAATTACAATTAAGACATTTATTTTCAGCAGCGGGGGAGATGGGGGGAAGAGCTGTGGAATGATTGAACCCCAAAAGGCCGTATGTAGTGCCATAGTACAAATGGCGTAACCCAACATAAATATCGAAAACATTACTCTGATGATCCGCTGTTTGGAGACTATTTCAGGAAGGGACGGGTTGGGATTAAAATGTATGTTGTCATTATTAGTGAATTTTTGCAAACAAGAAGTTCAACGCCAGTGGTATAGGCCTATCCAGCGGTGACGGGTAAACATGTCAGAGGTGAAAATGGACTAATTGCGTAATTGATTTTTATACCATGACATTTTTACCTCTGATTTATAAAAAAACAATGAAACGAAAGTATTTATCATAGCCTAAGTTGGAATTGACCGTTCCCGCAACCCCCCCCCCCCCATTCCTGTTTTGAGGCCCATAAATATTAAACCTGGTGGGAATACACGGCAGGCGGGTTACATCAGTCTCTATTATAGGCCAATTTTCAGAATTTCGACTCATATATTCCCATATTTAGTGATATCGTGATTCATAACACAATTATTTTATTCCCAACATTGTATTTATTATAAAGGTTTAATCATTTTAAGAACATTATTTTAAAGAATCTTTTATTCTTCACTATATAGAAGACATCAGGCTCGTACACAGGGGGGGTTGTGGTTATTTATTAAAAAAAAAAAAAAAAAAAATTCCCATGGCTGACCTAAAAAAGTTGACCTTACCCCCCTCCCCCCCCCCCCCCCCCCCAACGGAGCAAAATGTCAAAATTTCAAATTTTGAGACCAAAAAAAAAAAAAAGTGTCCTCTTACCCCCCCCCCCCCCCCCCCCCCCCCCCCCCCCCCCCCCCCGCTTATTCAGCGGCTGGCTGAGTCGTTGCGAAATTTTCGGCCCGATTTATAAATGTTAAACCCCCCCCCCCCCCTTGAAAAAATCCTGCGCACGCGCCTGGAAGAATTACTATACTAAACAATGAACAATTCATGTCTACTCTTTCTATTTTGAACTGAACATGCAGTGGTATAGCAAAGATGTCAGAGAAACATATCAAGTTTATGATAAATCAGGCAGGCAATATACGATCTATATTATAAACCCTATCAGGAGAAAACGTGTCTGCTCTATTACAGTATTTATTTATTTTTTTCTTTTGGCGGGAGGGGGGGTGTAAACTATGTAGGCCATATTTTATAAACCGTGTATAAGGAGCCCTCTATAAAGCTTTTGCAGTTTGTAGTGGCTTAGCCATGCATAGGGTGGGGTGGAGGCTGGGGGCACATGCCCTCCCCAAACAAATTTCCTGAGGGCCCCTAACGAAATCCTGATCCATCGTCTATCCAATTATCCACCCCATTCACTGTCCCATTAATTTATACACCAGTGAAAATAGTAAGTTATGTACCAAAGTACTGGTACATTGTATTAGGCTATAGGCTTGAACTCATTCATAATTCTTATATGTAAACCCAACATAGAACATGTCCAGAACAAGGTAAGACCATGTTGACCCCTTCCATATTCCTAGTGTATGTGGTCAGCAGCTCAGTCTACAATGTAATATCCTTCATCATCAATTTTAATTTGCATATATCCAATACACACATACTCTTTGAGTTATCCTTTAAGACACTACATTATGTATCTTAAGCCTCTTGTGCGCATATTTTGTTCAGCCATTAAACTCATCAAAATCGTGATAAAAAAACCCGATGGCCAACAGCCTTCTGAATAACCTGGCAATGTTATCAATCGACAGCAACAGAGTAGAAAACATGTAATACTTTGTAGACAAAGTTTGCCAAGCTACATTAATAGCAGGATTGTCTTGGTGTTAAGATAAAGGTAAGCAATGATAATAATAATAGTAATTATAAAAAATATATTTGAATATAATGGAAATAATGGAAATAAATAACCTTGAGAGTTCACTGCTTCACTATAACCGGTATCGATTTTATTTCTTCAGATAATGAATTCAAAAGTGCAAACACAAGAGTAGTTAATACCCCCTCCCATATAGAAAAACAGGGCAACAAATCCTATACTTTCTGTACCCCTTCCGAAAGGATATACCCCCTCAGTGCCCCCCCCCCCCCCCTCTACAGAAACAAAACTACTAGGTTTAAACCAATGAGCTACAACGGCGACCAAGTTTTCATAACCTTTTTTGATAAATAATATCTGAGTGGCGGATATATAGGGGAGGCAACTTTAGTGGCGGATCCAGGAATTTCTTATACGGTGGGGGGGGGGGGGCACAAAATCGCATGAGGTGAAATATAAGAAAAATGATGGAGCTTTTGTCACTAATCCCTTTGTACATGAAGTCCCATATGAGTTGCTGTGTGTTAAAATACATATGAAAAGATTTTAAGTTGCAAAGGTATAATCTGATCAAAGCCTCACATAATTGTTGAGGTTTCCCATCATTCAAAATTTGCTGCATTTTTCTTTTAATAGTATGGAATTGGAAGAAGATTAATAATATGTTCATGTAATGTAATTAAGACTTGATGACAATAATTATAATAGATTGTGTTGATTTTTGTTCTTGAAATATGTAGTGAGAACGTATTTATGAACTTAATTTATATGTATGCTTTATGGATTATCATTTTATATCTAGATTTTACTTTTGTCGGTAGCCTAATCATGAAGATAGATATTTATTTCTGATCTCTCCTATCCCACCCTCTCTCTCTCTCTCTCTCTCTCTCTCTCTTTTCTCTCTAAAGTCTAAACCCCTTCCCCCTCCCTCCTTCTCCCTCCCTTCTTCTCCCTCCCTCCCTCCCTCCCCCTCCCTCCCTCCCCCTCCCTCCCTCCCCCTCCCTCCCCCTCCCCCTCCCTCCCTCCCCTCTCTCTCTCTCTCTCTCTCTCTCTCTGTTAATGTTATCGCCGTAATTAAGCGTTTCGTCACGTTCTCTATATATAACTATTACAGCTGGAATCAAAGTTCGATCAGGATTATTTGATTTAACAATTCTTCTTGTCAAGTCAGAAGACCCTTTTTTATTAGACTGGGAATCAATTGTATTTGTCAACTGAGATCGCAAAAATCTTCACAAACTCGGCAGGATTATACAACGGCAAGTCACTAGCCTTAACTTGATTTGTAAGTATAAACTATTATTTCTAATTTGACAACTTTATTTTGAAGATAAATCTCTTTTTAGTTTTTAACTAACGAGACGCTGATATTTGTTCACTCTTACTTAGAAAAGAAAACCTATATAATACTTCCGAAAGTTAAACACCAGGTAATTTCGAGGCTTTTCTTATCACATGTTGAAATATGATTACATTAGTGACATGTCACATATTCCAAACATGATTTTTAAGATGTCTTGAAGTGCCCGTCACTTGATTTCTCTAAAGATTTCTATAGTCTTCGCGTAACTGTCGTGTGAAGTTGGTTACCTTTATTAGTTTGACGAGGCATTAATTTTGTCTGGTAATAAGAAAAGGGAAACATCTTTAGAAAGGACAAAAATTATGAGGCCCATTTGCAGAGATCAAGTTATTATTTATTTTCTTTTTCCTGAGACTCCAAAGAAGGGGGCGGCCATAAGACTGCTGCACTCAGTGTAGGATACGCCATTGCCCATATAGAGCGTATCAATTACATCATGATAATTTCAAGCTGCGACCTATTATTATAACGGTCCTAAGTAAATTGATATAAGCAATCTTATCGGTGCTCACTCTAATTTTGGTTGGCGCTATTTGATTTTTAAATCAAGTCTTGGCTATAAAGCGGCAAGATTTTAGGAAAGTTTAATGAACTTTGCTTCAGGTGTGTTGCGAAGGCGGTAAGATTTACATGACTGTAGTCTGTTTGGAATCGCCATATTGTATACAGTAGTAATTAAGTATACAATCTTCTGACAAGCTTTTGCGTCACAAAGAGCGCTCTACAAAAACTTGCCCATGACTCTAAAAACTAAAATGTTAAAATGTTGATCATGTTGAATCTAGCATGTTAAAAGAAACAATCTACCATTTTGAAAAAGTGGTCACTCCTCGGCCCTTTTAAATGGTGATTTAACATTTTAGTTTTTAGAGGATGCAGTAGGAGGGTAATCATAGTTATGTCCGACCAAGTTATAGGCAATCTTATTCCCAAATTGTGCAATCTTTTGCCAAATCACGATGAAGTTTTTGAAGAAAAAAAAAGGCACAGGCACCTATAATAATTATAGACCGCGATCAGTCGAACAATACTACCCTATTCAGGCGAGTTCGCGGAGGGGGGGGGGGGGGGGGGTAACACCCCCCCCCCCTCAATTTTGTTTATGTGTTTGTTTTCATATTTTAAAACCTTCTGTTTGGCAAAGATTTACCCAACATTAACTTTTAAAAAAAATTATGTTTTTTATTTTTGGTTGAGATTGACTCCAGATATCACCAACATGTCTACCAATGGATCACCGGCGGTGAATGATGACGGCAAGCACAGGAACCCTCGCGTGATGATGTGGTGCGTGCCACGGTCGGTATCGACGGCAATGACGAAATGTATGAGCTTCGTCAAGGGCGCCGAAGTCTGGCTCGAACCGTACGTCATCAGCAAGGCCGCCGACGATGTCCATCACATTCGCCATCCCGACAGCAGCTTCCCGTTGGAGCTGGAGGGCAACGAGGACTCGTTCAGAGAAACTGCGATAAACTTGACGCTTGGAGGAGATGATTTCGATCGGGATCACCTCGACTTGTTATCGTAAGGAATACAAAAAATGATCCTTTTACATATAAATAATTATCATGAGGAGGCGCGATGACTCAGTGGGAGAGTCGTGGTCTCGAATACCCGGAAGGTCCCTGGTTCGATCCCATGCAGCCTGGCACTAATATATTTAGGTATTAATAATAATAATAATAATATTTCGTTCTTTTTTAGCGCATTTCAGGACCAAAAGCCCTCTCAAAGCGCTTTACAATGTACAATGTACGTTTACATAATAATTACTCGAAGCATTCATCAAAAAGGTGAGTTTTCAGCGCTCTCTTAAAAACTTCAACATCAGTCATGGAGCGTAGCGACACTGGGAGAGCGTTCCAAAGTTTTGGCCCACCACATGCAGGGGCGTACGCAGGGGGGGTGTTTTGGGGGTTCAAACCCCCCCCCCCTTTGGTATTTCGATGTATGTAAACCCCCCTAAAAAAAACCTAAAACCCCCCCCCCCTTTGGTTTTTTTTTTTTTTTTTTTTTTTTTTTTTTATAAAAAAAAAAAAAAAAAAAAATTATACCCACGGCTAACCTAAATAAGGTGACCTTACCCCCCCCCCATACGTAAAAAAATGTCAAATTTTGAAATTTTGAGACCAAAAAAAAAAAAAAAGTGTCCGCTTACCCCCCCCCCCCCCCCCCCCCCCCCCCCCCCCACTGAGCGACTTTTCGGCCGGCGCGATTTTTCAAATTTTCGGGAGCAAAATATTTTAAAACCCCCCCCCCTTGAAAAAATCCTGCGTACGCCCCTGACCACATGCAAATGTCGATCCTGTCACCATAGGTTTTTGTGGCTCCATGATTGAGGGTGCAGGTGTTGGGAAGATGACCGTATGTGCCACTTTCCTCTCGGTGTAAATGGGTATCTGGCAATCGCTGCAGTAATATTAATTGCAGAGCCGTCAGTATTGATGCTAATGAGGCTTCCCTGTGTAAACTAAATCATTATTATTATTAATACGATAATCATTATTAAAACCAAGTCTTTTCATGGAGGCTCAAAGCCATCTACTCCCTATGTAGCTTATCTACAAGCTCACACAATTCTTTTAGCAGTCATATAAAAAAAAAAAATCAACGCGGCCAAAAAAGCCAGTGTACTTTAATGAAAGTTGACAAGCCTCATTCAACAGAGATTAAAATAAATTATTATCCATCAAGTTCAGTTCAGTCCTGAAGCGTGGTCCCAGTCATAATTGAGGGCGCACTGGGGCACCGGTGTCACTCAGGGGCAGTGGGAGATTTACATACAGGGTACATACGGTTAACAGCTTAATTATTCATACACTCACCACGTGTTGTAATTTTCTACGTATGTGAAAAATTGATTTGTCTCGATTTATGTTTCTTAAAAATGTGACATGTGTAAAAGGCCCTAATTCAACCAGTCCACATTTCATTCTTGAGTTACGAAAAACACACACACAAACAAAAAAAAACATCAAACTTACTAGGGCAGCGCCCTGTAGCTACACCGCTGATAACACGATGATTAGGGCCTAGCAATTTTAACTGCCATATTGTGTCATAGGAACGTAGATGTTAAATATATCGTTTAATTTTTTACTGAGAAATAATTTTATTTACCAGTTCATATAGATTTTAAAACATGGATAATGTTTACATCAAATAAAGGGGTTAGTATAAAGACCTAAAAATATAGTGTGAAATGAAGCACGAAAATAAATGGAATCAAGTGTGAATTGATTATTATTCATTTCTGTCTAACATTAAGTTTCACGGAATAATCAATTCCAAGTTTTGTTATGCTGATCCTAATTTTATTGAATCGCATATTTTTATTCTCCTGATTCTCTTTCTCTTTCCTGCCAAAGGCCGGTGACATTAAAACGCATATTCGATAATTTGGATCCTGCTAAAAAATTTGTCTTCATCAAAGACATGGCGGTGGGGATGCCACCGAGTCGTTATCCGTACCTACCCGACCGATCAAGTGGTATCAAGCACTTCTTCCTCATCAGACATCCTGTCAAAGCCTACAAGTCATTGCGCAAAGGTCTGCTCAATTTCCTTCTCACCTCTGATCCTGCGTTTCTTCAAGATGCGGGAATTAAAATGCCCGATGAGAAGACTTTCCATATCATCAAGGACTTACCTCCGCCGCGGGAAGGAACGCAGTACAACTACCAGGCCATTCACGAGCTCTGGAGCTACATCAGGAAGACGGTGGATAAGGACCCGGTGATTGTAGACATCGATGAGGTCCTGGAGAACCCGTCGGCGATGATGCCGCGATTGTGCAACGCGCTGGCGATCCCGTACTCTAAGAGTCTGCTGTCGTGGGACGCGTCGTCCGACGTCGTCCTGAAGTGGAAGAGCTCGTGTTCGAACGTCCGTGATTCTCCCAGGTACGCCATGTGGTTCACCAATGCCTTCAAGAGCTCGTGTTTCAAGGCGTCGTCGACCACGGCATCCCTCGATGACGCCACTGATGATATCAAAGAGGTTGTCGAAAAAGAAATGCCTTTCTATGAGGAGATGTATAATCTAAGATTAACCATTTAATGACGTTTTCTAATGGTATCCCAGCTTGCCTATAATGTCCTGGCTGGTATAAAAGTGCAGGTCAGGACAACTACACCACTTGGACCCGACCCAGATATCTACCTCGGATATACAACTCCCATTGTATATATCCCGGATAAATGGTAATTATGATAGAGATCTTAATATGTTAGAAGGATCTCTACGTCATAAAAGTTCCTTCAACTACAGGTGCATACGTATTCACGCATCAAAACTATCTCTCTCAGTATGCTATGCGAGAACTAAATATCTCCCTCTATAGCGACCCGAGAACAACATCAGAGATATCAGTCTATACAAAGTCCAACGAAACTTTATCTGGGGCTGTTGTCTAAGGGATGTCCGGTGGGTCCTCACTAACAGAAATCAAAGTGCAAATCATATCAAGCTGATGTACATCTATATAATTATAATTATACTACAAATACAAATACTAGAGGCCTTCCCAAAGGCCTCTAGGCCTTTTTAGGTGTGCCTCGCAAAACATTTCTACTGTAAAACACAACATTTTATTTAATCCCAATATATATTTTACCAATATTTGTATGTATTACTTTATTGTTTTACGCATTAAAAAAATGTTTCTACGGTAATCATAGTTTTGGGAATAAAGACAAAATGAAATATAAACTAAAACAATTAAATATTGGACAAACGGTGCGCATAGTATAAAAATGTTAATCCATACAATAATTACAATACCATTTAAATTGCTTAATTAATATATAGAGAGAGAGAGCAGAAAGTATGATGTGATATGTTACTCTAACAATAATATCTATACCATGTTAATTCATTCACGTATTGGCAGTGTCCTACAGTGTAGAGAGTTAGAAGCTTAATAATGACTATAATGCATATTATACTATATACTTTGGTCACTATAAAGGTCAACCGTGACCATATTCTAGGATAAACATATAACAACATTACTAATATATCGTAATCGTATTTAAAACAGTTGAAATAGAGATCCGTGAGTATTTCAAATTACTATATTTCGACTTAACGATTACGTATATAATGGTGGCTTCTTATATAGAGCACATGTCCGTCACGTTGTGACGCTCCTATAGTACTTTAAATGTATTATTCATGAAGTGTCTAATTATAATAGGAAATAACAATATTATTTATATGTATGACCATCATAATCACTTGTTGGCTTCCTATTTATATTATATTAATATCTAGAATATGCTCCTGATAAAGTTCAAACATGGCCATAGAAATTGTATTTATATTCCTATTCCTTTATAAACCTTTTGGCCCGAATTCACAAAGGAGGTTTGTCGACAAACCTTGGTTTTCGTACGTCATATGACGCGTTTTACGCGTTTTTTACAAACCTGGTTTGTAAAGAACAAAAGGAGGTTTGGCGAAACAAAAGGAGGTTTGAGCTCAAACCTTGCTTTGTGAATTCGGGCCATTATAGTTTGTTCTTGTTTTTGCAATATGACAATTCCTCGGTACACTATTATGTTTCGTTAAGCACAAAATTGTAATTAATGAAATGGAATAAACATGTTTATGTGTTTAAAAAAATACTTGTATACAATGATCATTTCATTCTTTTTATGCACTGTAGTATATTTTATGTTTCGGATTTTCATTCTTATTGAGATATCCATTATAAAGGTAGTGTGGTACGGTATGTCACTGAAACAGCTCCCGTAGGACTTCTGTGCCAAAATAGATTTTTTTTTTTTTGTTCCCCCTTTTTTTTGTGTGGATTCTTTGGGGTCCAAGCTATCAGAAATTGATGGGGTTCAAATTTTCCCGAAGACACCAAATTTCCCTATTGCGCTTAATATAAGCCATTTTGGCGCCCAATATGGACCCCTCCCCCCCCCCCCCCCCAGGAAGTAAAGGAGGGGTCTGAAATTTGAACCCCGTCATTTTTGGCCAATTGGGACTCTTTTGAAGCCAAAACAGCAACAACAACAACAACAACAAAAATTTGGTAAAAAAATCCTACGGGATTACATACCATACCGCACTATTAAGTTGATAAACACAGCTAGAGAGGCTCAGGGTTCACACTTTGTGTTAACACTGGGAGGACCCAGGTTCAAGACCAAGTATAAGCATTAATCCTCATTACACACCCCTCGGAGTGGACTAAGAGCCATCGACCTCCTCTTGCATACTTTGATACATGCTTTCTTTGCAGTCAGGTAAAATATCCCATGGCAATCAATTATTACAACTAATACATTTGTTTTCAGCAGCGGGTGAGGTGGGGGGGGGGGGGGGTGGAGCTGTTGGGTGATCGCACGCAAAAGGGCCGTATGTAGTGCAATAGTTATGTAGGCTATATACAAAATGGCGTAACCAATGACCATACAAATATCGATAAACATTACTCTGAGGATCCGCTGTTTGAAGAATAGTTCAGGAAGGGACGGATTGGGGCGAAAGTGTATGTTGTCATTATAACGATTTATAAGTGAATATTCGCAAGCAGAGGCGGCGCTACCGGGGGGGGGCAGAAGTGCCCATTTTTACATAGGAAAAGTGCCCCTTTAACTTTGTAAGAAGTGCCCCTTTTTACATAGGAAAGTGCCCCTTTTACTTTTACAAGTGCCCCTATTAATTTTTAAAAGTTCCCCTTCCCCTTTCCACCTCTGATAAGTGCTACTTCTATTTTGACACGTATCCCGTTTGCTTTGACAAGTTCCCCTTTCCTTTGTAAAAAGTGCCCCTTCCCCTTTTAACAACTACCCCTTTTTAACTCGGTTAAGCGCACCTTATTTTTTCACATGTGCCCCCTTTTCTTTTTAATAAGTGCCCCTTTTCCTTATGATACGTGCCACCATTAAAAAGCCCCTTTCCCTTCCCATAAATGCCTCTTTTCATCTATGAAAATAGTTCCTTGTTATTCTCATAAGTGCCCCGTTTATTTTAACATGTGCCTCTTTTTCTTTTAATAAGAGCCACTTCCCTCTTCTTATAAATCTAATTAGTCTCTTAATCCTTTCGATAAGTGTCCCCTTTTCCTCTCATAATTAAACGTGCCCCTAACTTCAGGCGACTAAGAGCAATTTTCCCCAAAGCTCTCTCGCTACGCTCGTTCGTACTATAGATGTTGTAATAATGTAACTTATCCCGGAACTTATCAAAGGTCTGTTCAGTCTTCCGTTATGAGAATGTGCTTATAACCCCATCAGGATTGGGGTTTTCCTCTTTATAAGATGTGATTTTCGCACTGCAACCTCACAAATCTTTAAACAAAAATCCTCGCTCACTTTGCACGCTCGCAAAGGAATTTTCAAACCATCACATCCAACTGCAAAGTATGATGCTTAAGCAATATCTTATATGATGTATAAAGAGAAACAAATATTGAAATCATCCCTGATAAATGTAATCACAATATAGGGTATATACCAATGTCTAACAAAATGTTTATTTTCGCTTTGAGATTTCCCTCTGAAGGTGCTCTTTTTTCCAGAAAGTGCCCTTTTTGTTGGTGCCCCCCCTTCTTTGGAAGTCGCTCCGCCGCCTCTGTTCGCGAGCAATTCAACGCCAATGGTTTATATGCAGTATATAGGCCTATCCAGCGGTGAAAGGTATACATGTCAAAGGGAAAACGGACTAATAGCGTAATTGATTTTTATACCATCACATTTTATTTTTTAATTCTGATTTTCTCTTTAATTTTTGTTTTATTACACCGAACGTATCTAGCATAGCCTGGAATCGACCGTTCACGCACCCCCCCCCCCCCCATTCCTATTTTTAAGGCTTATACAATTTATTAAACCTGCATGCTTCGGGAAGACAGCAGGCGGGTTTCATCTCCAGGCCAATTGTCAGAATTTCGCCTCATATTCCCAGATCAAGTGATATCCGGATTCATAAGAAATTGTATTCATAACATTGATTTTGTTACAAAGGTTTCATACTGACACGCGTGTCACTCCTCGGGCTCGTGATCGCCCAGCCCCTGACACACCCCCTCATTACCTTCACGTCTTTCTGAAGCCGATGAGGGGTGACGGATTCACTGCAGTCATGTCCCTATGTTGTGCACGCCCATGCCTTGGGCAACAGTGGCGTATCCAGAAATTTGTTTTTTAAAGGGTAGTGCAAATATCCACCCCCCCCCCCCCCCATTGGGTAAGTATATTTATTTATTTATTTATTTATTTTAATTTAACCTATTTATATAGGTTAATTTTTGTTAGCACAATGGCTTGCGCCCTTCCAAATTCCATTTCAAATGTGGCATGTATGGCTGTCGAAAGAACGATAAAGGGTGTGACACCCCCCCCCCCCCCCCCCGGCCCCCTCCAGATTTCACTTGCACAAAAATTCAAGTTCGTTCCTTCTAATTTGTCACTAAACATTTAACATTATTTTAATTGATGTAGTTATATTATCATCTTTCAGGCAACCTTACTGGTGTGGTCCGAGACTACCCCCCCCCCCTTCCAAACAGCAAAATACTTCAGTTACGCCCCCTGTAACAAGGCCTACGCCAAAATAGAAAATATCGAGTCGAGTTAGCATGGTACCGAAACTGCTAAGAAAGAGACGAACTGTATATACCGAACTACATGTTCTTGGTCACGTAAGCCATGAAAGCAAACAATCTTGGTTAAAGCATGTGCTAGGTCCATGGTTAAACTCACTATTGAAAGGATAATTAATCCAAATGACTCAAATTTACAGAACCCCCCCCCCCCCCCCAAAAAAAAAAAAAAAAAAAAAAAAAAATGTATCACGTATCAGTGCTCATAAGAAAATTTCTAACAATAAGCTTTCTATTCCCGAGCTCTTTGCCAAATTGCTAAACTATCATAGATCTTTATTCTTCATAAAATAATTATATGTCAGATTTTTGTAATATTTTGTAAGGCGCTTATTGCTATCGTCGATGTGGTGGGCATAATAATTATTATGATATTTTTAGTTTCTTTGGTTTTGTTTTATTTGTTGATGTTGTTGTTGTTGTTAGTTAGAGTTTAGTTTCTATTTTTGGCCTATCCCTTTTCAAGGTTTCAACACCCAGTGTAAGTGACCCAAGTCATTATAGATCCAAACTTAAACAACAAGATCGCAACTGCTTTCTAAAAATCAACAACACAAGAAAATGGCCAGAGTAATCTTGGGGGCCAATGTAAGAACCCCAACTCAAGAAAAATTAAATAAACTCAAGTGGGTAAGCATTCAAAGTAGGTGGAATTATTACAAATGTAAAATGATTTATTCTGTTTTTGAAAATCAAACTCCCGTCTATATTTTACAAATGTTTAAAAAAATCCAATCTGTACATAACATTAGAACACGCAGTGCACAAAATGCAGGATTAATTTTACCCAAAATAAAAACCCAGATGGGGAAACAATGTTTTTCATTTGATGGTGCGGCTTTCTGGAATACTTTACCTAATTTTTAAAAAAATGCGCCCTCAAATTCTTCATTAACTCTTTTGTTTTGGCGCTATAATAATTTAAATCATTGAACTGGTCCATTGTGTTGTGTTTGTTTCTTTTCTTTTGTTCGAAAATGATTTTGATAAAATTCTCTTAAAGACTCTTTTATTCTTCACTATATAGAAGACATGTAAGGACAACATAATTACTACTTAGTCTACTTTGAAACAAATCATGTTTACTCTTCTTCTTTTATGTTTATACTATGTTCCTTTATTGAAGATTGACAATAAAGACAGTTCGGATACAAAATCATATAAGCAAAGATGTTAGAGAAACATACTAAGTTCATGATAAATCAGGCATGCAATATCCCGTATTACCAATATTATATACCCTATCAGGAAAAACATGTCTGCTCTATTACAATTTTTTTTCCTGGGGGGGGGGGGTGTAAATTATGTAGGTCACACTTTTTTAAACCGTGTAAGGAGCCCTTTAAAGCTCTTGTATTTCCTAACAGTGTCTTAGCCATAGGGTGGGGTGGAGGCTGGGGGCACATGCCCTCCCCACACAAATTGCCAGGGCCCCTAACGAAATCCTGACCCATCGTCTATCCAATTATCCACCCCATTCTCTGCCCCATTAATTTATACCCCAGTTAAAATAGTAAGTTACGTACCAACGTACCGGTTGTTAGGCTAGGCTTGAACTCATTCATGATTCACAGTATACCCAACATAACATGTCCAAGTTAGACCATGTTGACCGGTTGACCCCTTCCATATTCCTAGTAAAAGTGGCGAGCAGCTCAGTCTACTTTGTTTTATTTGAAGGCCCCTACTTATTTATTTTGTGCTAGAGCTTTTATTTTGCTTCGCTTTATATATTTATTTATTTATTTTTCATTTTGGGGCCGGTTTGCTCGTCAGGGAATTTTAGATTAAAAGAACAGGAATACCATATGAATGTCTCCTTTTTATTGGCCACTCTACTTTTAATTCTTTAAAAAAAAATGTTTGAGTACATGTTCATGTTGATTATATGGTTAATGAGTGAGATATATAATTCAAAGGAAGTTCAAAGGAATCAGTCGGACTGTTCTTTCAAACAAAGTCCGGGCAGTAAATTAGCGGCTGAATATGGAAACATTGTGTAATCTTCTCCACGTCCACAGCTTGGGAGCAAATAGACCAACAAATAGAGTTGAACAGTTCCACCAAATCCATATAAGGTAGTGGACTAGTGGTAAAAGAACACATTATTAATACCGTCATTGGGTCAAAGTTAGAAACTTACCGTATTATTGGTGTAATCATTTTGTTCGGGTCATTTCGTCACATTTTGATGATTTTTAGTGATTTTATTATAAATATACCTATTTATTTATATAAAGTATTATTAAAATGTATAAATATTTTAATTTAATGGTAACGTTGTTTTTTATATAAATTAAACAACTATGTTAATGTAAATTATATTAAAATAAAATAAATTTCCCCCTGAATTTGAATGACCCGAATCTCCGATTCTATAAACATACACTAGACATCCATTTACGTGTGTATTATGTCAATGGCTAGCCCTTGCATTGAGCTTTGTACACAGACTTCAATATGCCTGGCTTGGCTCATTCAACGAACAAGTAAAATAATGGTGATCTTGTAAGGGAAAAGCATATTTCGTGCTCCGATGAATGGTCGTGGGCATCAGATATCAACCTTGCATAAAAGCACCGAAAAAATGTATTTAGCTGACGACTGTGAGCAGTTAATTTGAAACGTAAACATAAGCAGAATCACCTATTCTTGGCAGCTTAGCTGAGCAGCAATGCAATGCAATGCATGATGTTTTCTTCCCTGACAAGTTGAAGTTCAATTCAACGTGAGCCCAGCCAGATCCAGAGCCCCAGTTGTTGATCAAGCAAGTAATTTACCTTGGAAGAGTGGAATAGATCTAGATGTAATCAACAGCACCATGAATAGGCAGACATTATATTAAAAATCGTCCAACGTGCATGACGAGGCAGCAGAAGTGACTAGGTTTTTACCACTTTTAAGTTTTGGGAGAAAGTGGCTATCTGCAGTAAAGATTTGAACAAAGAGAGTTGAAGTGAAGACAAAATTAAGGAAAATAGCATTTTAATACAACTAATAAGTATTAGTCCATCAGTTTTTTTTTAAATTGTGAGCAGCAGAGCGTGAAAATCCTGTTTCTTCCTTTGCCTTTGGCTTTGGCTTTGTTTGACCGTGTTTGAAAACAACCAGTGCAAGTTCGTGAAGATGGAGGAGGATGAGGGATTTATGATGGGAGAAGAAGACGAGCTTGGATTTGATGATGATGATGATGATGCAGGATCAAGTGACTTTGGAGACCATTTTGAGATGGAGGAGGACGACGGTTCATACAGTCGAGATCGAGAGGATATCGACGATTTCCAGTATCAAGTGTTAACTCCGGACGATATTGTGCAATTAATGGTTGATACAATACGTGAAGTCAACAATGTTGTAAAGGTAATTTTGGGAAACTGTCTATGGCTAGCTGCCTAAATGAATTCAGTTGCATGTTACTGTTAGCAGTTAGCGCTGGTCGTTGAATGGGGATCGTCCGCATAACCGAGGATATCCTCGTATACGCGGACAAAATGTGTCCTAAAAAATAAGGATCTTCTACATTTTTACCAACGTTTTTTTTTCTTCGGCGCTCTGCGGATTTCGGGTTTGTGATCCGCGCGCTGGCAATGCGGAAAATGGATTCCACGTAATAAAATAACCCCAGTCTACCGTCTACTTTTATTATGGGTTTTTTTTGTCTTTCCAAAGATTTATCGCTCATAACGTGAAAGTCTCAGTACGAAGTCAATGTAAAATGCATCAAGAAAATCATTGCGGAATCCGTTTTTTCGCATCGCCAACGCGCGAATCGGAGATCAGAATCGTCATTCCTTATTTTTGCGAACGCGTCTGTTCCCATTTACAAAATATGATCCCTGTTTGTGCGGACAATCTTATTCTCGGACTTAGGCACATTCAGAATTCAGCAGTCTCGTGATTTTTAGACATCTTTGGGTTTTTGTACTTGCAATACACATCCAGAAACACATGTATAAAATTTTCATTAAAAAATGTCATTTTTAATGCAAGTGTACTCACCATCAGTTTTTAAAAGCATTAGTCCACCACAGAAATCATCATTTTCATAGTTGATAAACGAACATAAAGCAATATGACCATATTCCTATTCACATTCACAAAGCAGAACAAAGAAGGAAAAATGCAATCATTAGCTAGGGAGTTAGTGGACAACCATCTTTTTATGTTTAAAAAAGATACATTGTATGTACATGTTGAGATGCCACATATAATGATTTCAAAACTATTAAAGATAAACTTGAGTTCTGGTAATGCGATTGCATTGTGAAAGAAAAGGTGTGGAATGGATCATAAAAGTTGATCATATAGCATGTAAGTAATGGTGTGTAATGTAAGGTTCTGGAGTCATCAAAATCATCATAAATTTGGCAGAGTCTTGGTAAAGTAACAATCACTTACACAGAAAGATGTATATGGGACAACAAACATGGTGTCGGGGCTAGTACTACCCTGATTTCCTTATCTTTCTATGCTCGTTACTCAGCCAGTTTACATTTTCTTCCAAAATTTTGAACATTCAGTGTAAGTTGCGTTAGATTCTATGAGAATTCATTTTCTTTTTTTACCAGAACTCAAGTTTATCTTTAACATTTTATGAGCTTAACCTTTTCACCTACTTTTCACCAACTGTATCTTGTACTTTATTTCAATTTGAAGTTTGCGCAACTGTCTTCTGGTTTGGACTTGGCAATTGTGCAATGGGACCATTTCAAGCTGTTGACTAAATTTTCAAATATGCATGTATGGTCTTACATGAGATACATGTACCTCCATGTCCAGATCCTGGTTCATCAGTAGCATTACTTTAGCAGTATGTTGAGCTGCTCTGAAATTGTACTTAGGTTCAGCAATTTGCAAAAGCCTATCCAGCCTATTATTAATCTGAAAAACAGCATGAGCCTCCACATCTTGGTTTGACTTTGGAGACTGGTTTGACTATCGGAGGCACGATAGCTCAGTTGGTAGAGCAGTGGTCTTATAATCCGGTGACCAGGGGCTCGTTCCTAGAAACCAACGACAAGACAGTCATAACTTTATCTGCCAACTACGGAGATGTCTCTGATCTTCCTAAACCGTTTCACGAAGAGCTTACTAGCTAGTATCTCGTGAGATCGATATTATCGGCGAGAAGAGGAGCCGAGAATTAGCCTTAGTCGCAATACCACCAGATTATTACAAAATTAATATTAGGGAAAATGCAATTATTTAAATGAATTAGTAATAAAAAAGATTAAAAATGATACCAAGAAATAAGAGATCCAATATACTTCCAAATTTGTGTAGATTAAACAATTGAAGTACTTGTAAAATATAATTGTGAGTTTTTCATTACATGACCAGTGAATCAGTTTTGTTGTTGAGATGGGCACCCCCCGAATATTTTCATTTGATAGTTTATAGAAATACACCCTTATATTATTCTTTGAAAAAATACGATGTAATGAAATTTGTGTTCAATGTTTTTGGCGTCAGCACAATATAAAAATTACAAAACTTCAATATTTCAAACGTTAAAATATATGTTTAAACCATTCACTTTGCATAATTTAAAATAAAATTCATCTCGAAATTAATATGGGTCTGAAAACTAAAGAATACATTTCAAACTATGGCTTGCCTGCCGTGGCAAAATACATATCCCTTCGATGAGTTTACAATGTGGAAATAAAGGCGTATAATCAGTTTATTTAAGTGGGAAAATCCTTAAATACAAACATGGCATATTTTCATGAGATTTTCAAATACAAAAAACGATAATTCACTGTTTAAGTGAATGTGTAGAAAAATCATAGTTGGAGGATTTATTGTCCTTTTTTGCCAGCCATAGTCTACCCAATAAATGACATGTGATGGCGCTGCCCATCGACTAAATAATTATGACAGAGATACGACGGTGTCAGAGGTGTCATAACTCCTTAGTCAGGATGTTGTCGTTGATCTTGGCAAAGAGAGCTTGGTGAAACACGTAGCGGACAAGTTGTTCACTAACGCTGATTTAGTCAAGAAGTTAGACTTATGACGGTTTGTAGGAACGGGCCCCAGGGTTCAAAACCAAGTTGATGAGCTACATGTAGTGCCCTTTGGTAAGGCTTTAATCCTCAATACCAGGTCTAGGACATGAAATGTTTCCTCAAAATAAGTTTACATGTGTGTTGTTAAAATCAAATACAAACTTATAAAGAAACAAGTTTCACTAGCGAAAGTGTTGTAAAGCAGAAAAGAAGCCGAGGACCTGGGAATTCACAATTAAAAAGATCCAGAAATATCAAAATCAGAAGAATGCTGAATTCTATTTTTGCCTGAACTGATACATGTACTGTACATGCTGCCTTTAGATCAAGAATATTTTTAATTCTCCTGTTTTAAAAGCTAAAAACTCATTGAATATTCTTGAGTTCTAAATGGAACCAAGAGCAAAATTAATTCCAATTGAGACAGGGGGTAATGACTTTTCTGCGCTTATTTGTAGTGGCTACTCCTATTTTATTGAATTCATTTATTCCAAAGAAAACAAATGCATCTATTTAAAGGGGATGAGGATGGAGCTGGAGGGATGGAGGATATTTTCCTAGCCCTCGATTCAATCACCCTCAATTCAATCACCCTAAAGATTTGATAGCAGGCTTGAATTTTTAGTGCGTACAGTAAAAGATCATGTGATTGGTATGAAAAGAACATTTGCATGTTTGTGTACAGAATGCCTTTTATAATAATATGGACATGCACATGTACGAGTACGAGTAGAAAGATACGGTACACCTGTAGTCATTAATGACCAGGGACTGTCCATGCTACAATGTACATGTAAGCATACAGATCTAATTTGGTGACCCAGTAGACAAGTCCTTGTATAATTGTCATTGTGCTGAGACAGTTAACAAACAACCTGAAACAAGACTGCACATGCACACCAGTGACTCATTGTCTCTGCCTATTGCAACACAATGTTTGGTTCCCAATATACATGTGCATTACAAGCTTTGTTACTTCATCAAATCAACGTCACAGTACACTTAACAAGTTAAAGCCATGTATTCATCTTAATAATTAATGGAGACTTTACAATACATGGTTGATTGTTGCTCCCTATACTGCTAAAATGATGAAAAAGTTATGCACTTTAAAATTTTAAGTGTTAAATAATCATTTATTTCATTTATTGTAACCAAAAAGGTGTGATTTCAAATAAAAATTTCAAACAAAAAGTAATACAAAGCAATCAGGCAATAAAAATGATTTACACAGGGCTTGACAAAATAAAAATTTCAAACAAAAAGTGATACAAGCAATCAGTTTTTTTCATAAGGGTCATGCATACAGACTGTATAAAGATCAATCTGGAACCCTTCCAAAACAGTGAAATACACAATGAACTTTAATACAGTATATGAAGTAAACAAAGTGAGTGGTACATGAATACATAATACAATGTGGTGGCTACAGTGTACAATCAAATTATTATGCATATATCAATTTATGCTTTTGCTACAGTTAAGCTTATTTATGCTATAAATAAGTAATAACTACATGTAGCTTAAATTTAATTCAAAGGTACACATTGTACCTGTACTAAGGGTTGAATGAACTGAAGTATTGCAACATAAGTTGTTGAAAAATCAGCCCAAATAATATTGTTGTTAGCAAGATTCATGTTGGAAGGCTCTTATGGTATTGATATCCCTTGGATTTAGATGACATTACGTACGTTCTGAGAGTGAGATGTACCATGATGGTACAATTAAATTCATATTTTTATTTAAAATAAGAACATTACTTATTTTCCCTTACTAAATGTGGATCATCTTCCAAGAAATAAGGATGGGTTTTCTTCCATTCTAAATGACTAATTCTAGTACAGAGTGATGAATAATTTAACCACAAATGAGATTTGACCAAACCAAACTAGGATGTGGCGTCACCAAATAGGGGTGAATGTTTACCAAATAAGGATGCGGATCACCAGAGAAAGGATACATGTATAGCATCCTCCTAGTCTGGGTCTGTGCACCACATGTTATGCAATGTCAGTCATATATAGTAAACATGTAGTTCTCATGGTCTGTGGTGACACCCGTGTGTACTTTACAAATGTACTGTAAGTGTCAATTGCAGTTACAATGTACATGTAGTGCAGCCATGAGTGCCCTGCTCCACCACCCCATGTATATTATTTAGGAAGGTTTTTTGTTGTTTGTTTCGCCACGGTCACAAAGGTTCGTACGAATCTCCCTGTTTTTCCATTGTCTTCCCGAATTTCCATTGTCTGAAAATCTGTTCGTACGGCGTTCGTAGCAGTTCGAAATTGCATTTGTGACCGAGGCTTTACATTGAACAATTAAAAATCATGTATCCTAATCCTACCTACAGTATTATTCACCTGCACATTGTATTGATTGTGTGTTCAGATTCCAGCAACTGTGACAAGGATACTTCTAAACCACTTCAAATGGGACAAGGAGAAGTTAATGGAGCGGCTATATGGTGGCGACCCTGATGCAGTCTTTACAGAGGCACATGTCATCAGCCCATATAGGAAAAACTACGCAAAACAACCAAAGGTATGTATTTGTACTCTTGATTTCAAACTAACAAACGTGATATATTGTGTGGATGAGGGCTTATGTGTAATTATGTTTACCCTCATTCATGGTTATGAAATGTCACATACATGTATTCAAACCAAACTTGCTCTTTTTGTTCAAACCCGTTTACTACAAATATGACATACTGTAGATCTGCCAAACTCTATGATGAGCAGAGGAAGTTTAGAAACGTGAACTACAGTAGTCGCCAAGACCATACTTTACGTTGTAGAGTTTACTGTAGATCACATGCTTCCAGCGTTCTGATTTCCAGCCAAATTTCATTTGTTTGTTTACATTTTGCTGCATCAATTTTGTTCATGAAGATTTGGGGAAGCCTACATGTAGTTTCTGCCAAAATGCAATTCCGCCTCCACAACTCAATATTAGCTTTAAAACTGTTAGTTTTTATGTTGTTATCTACCAGTACATGTTAGAAGTGAATAATTGTCAGCAAGAAATTGTGCCCATATGAGGCACTAGGTTCCATTTATAGAATTATACTGGATAATCACTAGACAGTGAGTAATATCAGTGCAAAGTACATGTACATTGTAATTGTATATATATATCTAGCCATTGCAAATTTGCAATCATAATAAACTGCATGACTACCGGCAGGCTGACTACCGGTACAGGTGTAGATTTATGAAAACGTATTTTTACATCATTTTGATTTATTATTATTTTATAACCAGAGGGATAAAAATATGTTTATCAGCTCTTGTTACATCCATATGTATTTTTAGAATTCTGTTTTGTTCTAGTATAGCTAGTGGTGTTGGGTTACCACTTCCATGCATGCATGTTTTGAATGAAACTTACTTTCGTTTATAAAGTTCATTGCAATCTATTCTTTTATAAACAAGTTGAAGAGTAATTGGCTTTTATTAGAGAAATATACATGTACTCTTCATTCCTCATGAGACATGTCTATATTTTGGATGCAAACACAATTTTGTTATACCTTTGTACACTGTACATGTACACGGAATGTGCTGGCAATTCAATTACATTTTAAGTGCAGTTTGATGACAGTTTTGAATTTTTAATTCTAATCATATGATTAGACATGGAGGCTGTAACATGGTTTCCACATGCCTAATATTTAAAAAATATTTATCACAACTATTATGAAAATTATGGAATGTGTACACTATGTTTTATACAATATTTGTGCATTTTTTCAGGCACATGTCCTGTGGATGTGTCAAAATGAATGAAATTCTAGTTAGATTTAAAATCTACATGTACCTATCATTCAAATGTCATTGTCATTTATATTATTCTGAAATCTGAACCAAGAAAAAATGTTTATGAATCAATTTTCACATGTACGTACATATACACAAGAAAATCTGAATTGTATCATGAATATGTACATGTTTTTCCACATACGGTAGTTAAATTTACCTCATATTACATAACTTCCTTCAAAGGGGTACCGGTATGCACTACATGTACATGTTTGTAAGCTACATGTACTGTATGTAGATATGGAGGAGAGAAGGGGAGGGGGGTTGTAATTGCAATGGACAATATGTGAGGATATTTTTCCTACATTTTTGTTTAACATTTATCTCAAGTTTTATGATAGAATAAACAATTTAATTCTAGCTTCATTTACACTCAACCAAAAATCAATGATTTTTCAAAGTGGTGTATATAGGCTGTGTATATGGGCCTTCTATGTTTAGATTAATAATGGTGTTTTCATCATTTCCAATTGCAGGTTAACACAAGGTCATCAGTTGCTGTGACAGAGTACTGTGAAATCTGCTTCAGAACTGTTCTAGGATCAGTAAGTACTTTTTAACTTGAAATATTTCATTTGTTTTTATAGGATTATTTCAATATAAAAGAAACTCATGTGTCCCATGATATGTGCCCCTAGATATAAGCCTCTAATAAAACAGTTACAATTTTGATAGGATATAAAACTTTCATTTGATATTAAGCTCATCAGTGCATACCTTCTATTTAAACAAACCACCAAATTTATGAATAATCATCCTTTAAAATATTTAGAATCAAAGTCTGTATTTATAATCTTTTGTTTCACTGTTGAATTCAGAAAGAAATATCTTTCACTTTTGTTTCATTGTTAAATTCAGAAAGTAATATCTTTCATAAACAATAGAATGCCTGCATATTTGTTGGTATTCATTATGAATAATATGCCTATTCATGGTCCAAACAAATTGCACAGCAATGAATTTCTCTGGATGGAAAAGGTTTGAAAAACACTTTAGATGGAATTAACATTTTTTAATATAACTTTGGACGAGACACAAGCACATTCCAGTCCTGTTTTGCTGTAGTAAAAGTGAACAAGATTAGATATTTACATTTCAGAACAAACAACATTCTGGGTACATCTAGTCAACCTTACATTCTTAACCCTTTTCATTAGTATTTGAGATTGATTTACGCTAGTCCTGATTTTGTAGATGTAGAGTTATTTATTATGATCAGTGCTGCTGTAAAGGCTATGTATATCAATGAGTGCAGTTTACCAAGGACAAGCTCAGCTAGAGCTGGCCATGACCAACACACTGTACTGCTCATGTGTCATCCACAATGTATCTGATTATATCTTTTGTCTTTCCGTTTGTGCCCCTCTTTACCTGACAAGCACACAAGTGTGCATACATGAACACACACAAAAGAGAGTCCGTCAGGAACAGGGTGGCAATAAACCAGGTCACAATCATTATGATCTCATGACCAAAAGCCAGGCCGTATGACAGGTTGTGTGGCACTGTGTACATGACACAGACATTGATGTACATGTAGTATTCATTCCCTTTGTGCTTGCGTGCCTGGGGGAATAACATGCGTAGATCTCTAGTCTACATGACATGAGGGGGAAGGGGCCATGCACATTGAATACTTCTTGAGGCTATTAAACAGATCGATGCATATTAGGTCTTATTGCATATTTATGTTTTATGGGCCTGATAGAAAAATAATGCATCGTAACCACCTATTATATTCAATGTGTGTGCTCTCTTTTGTTTATATTAAGTGAAGGCCAATTTGTCTAATAAACTCAATTAAATGTACCAGTCCCTGAATTATCTTCAATTATAAAATGAATTTGACATGCATTGTACATTCTGTGTGTATGCATTTTTGCAAGCTTTCATACAGTCTCATACATTTACATGTGTACATCTACACATAGGCTATATTGTACAAATACTGTACATGCAATAAGTGACATAGATGTGTATGTATGTATAGGCTTGCCAAAATTTAAATCATATGAGTCTTCATTATTTCATTATTGCTTCCAATTACAAAAAAGATTCAAGTATTGATGTATACAGTATTATTATACACAGATGTTTTCTACAAAACATGTTTCTACAGATTAGGTTTGTTGACTTTCCTTATTAAATTGTAAGGCAATTCTTTGATATCAGGAAAAGAAAATATATGGCATTAAAAAGAAGTGACCAAGAGGTACTGTTGATTTTGATTAAAGTATATTTATTATGAACATGTACACTGTACATGTAGCTTTATGGATGACCTAATTCAGCTCTAAAATGATTGGCTGCATATGAGGTTAACCTGTTTTCAATCAGATACAGCCAGAGGCAATCCTACATTGTCTTGGGGATTAATTAACTTGTTTGGTATTCGCTTGGGAAATCATACCTTTTCCAAGATGACATGTACTTCTAACCAGAACCCTAACTGTACAAGCAGTTTATGTGCCCATGTACATGTACGTATCTTATCTGTGATGGCTCTTTTGAATTTGTTTGTATGACTTTGTCTTTTTTTAATAAAAAATTTACCTGGCAAACTACTCTCGGCCCCCATCAACATGTACGTTCACACTTCAACACGGGTGATGTCATGTACATGTACTGTATGTGCAGGTTAGTGGGGAGTTAATCACATACATTTCAATTCCTCCAAAAAAGGGGAATAGATTTAAGACATTTGTATGCTGTGCAGAGTGAAGTTTGGCGAATACCTTCACTCTAATGACCCTGTAGTGTAATGTATTATACCCATAGAAGCAGTTCATTGTGTAGCAGTCTGACACAACAGTCTGTCACAATAACATTGAAGTCTGGGTATATAACAATGATGATGATGATGATGACGACGACGACGACGACGACGACGACGATGATGACAAAATACATGGAGTGACATGTAGTTTGTGTGTTTTTATTTGAAATTGAATAATAATGATGAAAGATTCAAATCTCTTTGTTTGCTTTTATCTTGTGTTTTGCAGTCGATGACAGGTATTGAGTGCAACCATAAATTCTGTGCAGATTGCTGGACAGAGTATCTTACAACCAAGATCATGGAGGAAGGCATGGGCCAGGTAAGCAGAAAACACCTTTTCATTTTACTTGCCCCACCTATAAATTCACATGTCATGATAGACCATTCAGTTTAATTAATTTCATAACTGTTTTTTCTGTAACATTCATTTGAAAATTTGTCTCAAAAAATATGATATGTTTTTAATTGTAAATTGTCATGCAATTCAGCCCAGGCTGCGAAATGATGATATTAATAAACTGAAGAAGAAGAAGAATGCAAGATAGATACGCAAAAGAGTTGGTACCGGTGAATGATAGAGCAAGCCACGTATTAGAAAATGTGCCAGGAAATTTACTTTATAATTTTTTAACTTATAACAAGAAAAATTGAAATACCCTGTACAACATCAAGCATTTTTTAAATTTATCTTGAACTGAATGTTTTTTTTGAACTGAAATATGATGTTGTTGGCCTACCGTAATTAATGTTGTATAAACCGCCCTCGTGTATTAACCGCACCCCCTTTTTTTTTTTTTTTTTTTTGGTGTACCGTGTATAAACTGCACCCCCGACTTTGAATTTTTTTCGGCGGCAAAAAGGTGCGGTTTATACACCGTTAATTACGGTAAATGTAATCAACAGAGGCTGTATTACTTATCCAGCCTGTGTAATGTACTGTACTGGTATGTCAATATTCTATAATAGTGTTTCATATATTTCCTCTCCCATTCCATTTCAGACTATAACCTGTGCAGCTCATGGATGTGATATCCTTGTAGATGACATCACTGTTATGTAAGTATCATAATGAATTGCATTTAGTCTAGCAATCAGTTTTAATTGATTATCAAAATTATGAAAGATAGGTTAGAATAAACACCAAGACATCAGAATATAATAATTTTCTGTGTGAGTAAAAGCCCCTCTAAAGTGTTGGGAGCCCCGAATATGCCAAAAATTTGATTGCAAAATTTCAATTAAATTGTATCATAATGTGAAAGAGGATGTTATTTAGGACAAAATTCTGCAAAGATTCCCCCCCCCCCCCCAAAAAAAAAAAAAAAAAAAAAAAAAATGTGTTTGAAGTTTAATATTGATTTTAAAAAATACAGTATTTGGGTTTTCTGTTGTAAGCAAAAGTCCTAAATTTTGTATTCTTTCATCGATACTCAACTTCAAACAGACTTATTTTTGAAAATCCTTGCAGTATAATGTCTTTGATGCATCCTCTTTCACATTAGGATACAATGTATCTGAAATTTTGCGATCATATTTTTAGGGCTCCCAACCATTTATAGGGGCTTTAAACTCACTACCGCTTTGGTCGACCAGTAGAATAAATGGGAGTGCTACAGTTGAATTTGTAACATGTACCCTGTACAGTATACACGTGTACTCTAACAATGTTGCAGTCCTGGATTTTGATCATAGTGAACAAAGAGATAATGGGTGGGTGTGACGAGCGTGTTCTCTTTTCCCCCTGTACGTTTGAAGTGTTTACACATCAATCATTAAGCTATTGTTGAAATCATGAACATTGTGTAGATACACGTGTGTACATTAATGTACGCTTCATTGCCGTCTTTTGTGAGATCGGTTGGAATGTAACGAAATGAAACAGTTGGATGAATATTACCCTGAAACATTTTTTTTTTCTTTAAACTCTTTTAATATATGCTTCATCGCAGTCTTTTGTGAGATCAGTTGGCACGTAAGGAAATGAAACAGTTGTATGAATATTACCCTGGAACATTTTTTTAAACTCTTTTTGAGCTGATTGCATTGTGGTCTACATGTAAATTAAAGAACATGACTCTGAATCTGTCTAAAGTACAGTTTTATGAACATTGTAAATAAAAATGCAAACAAGATAAGCATCCATTACCACTATGCCTCATACATTGTAATCATCTACATTGTATTTGAACTTGTACATTGGATTACACTGTAAGCTTGCATATTAGGCTTAGCTTGGGGTTTTGAAATTCAATTTTAATCATATATATGTATGTGTTTATTAATTAAGACAATACTATTTTCTATGCATAGACCATTTGCCTGATAGAGATTTTCATCACACCAAAATCTTCTTTTTAATTGATAAAGACTTTCTTCGATTCCCCTTTTCGAGTTGATAACAAAATTTTTTAAAACCAATTTTTTTTTAATGAACGAATATTCTAGTTCATGGTTAAGACAAGAGAAATATATAATTCTCTATTTTTTTGCAATCCCAGTTCAATATTTAGTAACTATATATAAGGACTCAACACTCGTAAGCAATCAGGACATATGTATGGACACCCAATTCTAAGTCCTGACCCTAAAATATGAAGATCTCATGCACACAGATTCTAAAAATCTAAATCCAGAATCCTATGAAAAAAGTTAAAGGAAACCTCACCCAAGAAATACATTTGGTTATTCTGAGAGATTAAACGTAGTCTTGCCCATTAATCCACAAGGTTCCCCCCGAAAATGAAAGAAAGAGGCATAAAGCTAGAATAAAGTAGTGTTTCTCAGCATGACATGTGCATCAAAAGTACAGTGCAAAGTCGTTTATCAAGTAAATGGTTCAAATTTATGGATGCTTCCTTCCCAGGTGTGTGTGGTAATGAAATATTTCATTCACCTGCTATTATCCTGCTTTTATAAATAAGTTGGTGCTCTTGTCTGGTAAATGTTTCGCATAAGTAAAATAAATTTGTCATCTGCTATATTTTTATATTTTTAGATAAAAGAGTTACAATTGTTATTCATACACCTCGGCATAGGTGAATGAATCTTTAGAATAGGATCCTGTTTTAGGCTTTTACGATGCTCTGAGTCAATTTCTTTCATCTATTCAATATTATAAAAACGTTCTTCTATATTTCCCCTTTCAGGAAATTAGTGAAAGAGTCGAAAGTGAAACTGAAGTATCAGCACCTGATAACCAACAGCTTTGTGGAGTGCAATCGTTTGATGAGATGGTGCCCCGCCCCAGACTGCCCTAATGCATTCAAAGCTAACCACATAGAACCCCACCCTGTTACCTGTATCTGTGCACATACATGCTGGTAAGTGAGAAATACCGGTAGTCTTTTTAAAAATAAAACCATCCTGTCCCTCCTATTCATAAAGAATATACAGATGTTATGGAGTACATGCAGAAATGTAAAGTGCTATTTGAAAAAGAAAATATATTAATAAATTTAAACTTTAAACATCTTTCAAAATTTGATTTTAGTGCAAGTGCGCATACATAATTTGTTGTATAAATCTCGTACTCTCTAACCGATTAGCCTTTGAAGATACCATGGGACGTTTCACCTTATAAGTTTAATTGTCTCTGAGTTTATATTATTTAAGAGTTTTTAATCATTCTTTCCTCTCTCCATTGAGCAAATTAGAATGTATTGTGATCGATACTTGTGATGTAATTTTAACTGTTATAAATGGAGATCACCTTTATTCTCTTTCTTCTTGTTTCTTCTAGCTTTGTCTGTGGTGAGAACTGGCATGACCCTGTCAAGTGTTCGGTAAGTACCGTAGCTTCATCCATGTCCATTGTAAGGCAGTACATTTAAATGAACACAGCGTAGTTTTCCCATTGATTATGAGTCCTGATTGATCTAGGCCCTGTTTCATAAAACTTGTTATCAATAACAAATGCTAAATTTCTATGACAAATTTGCTCTCAGCCAATCAGATGCCATGATTTCAGTAGCTTATAACGTTATTGTAACTAGTTATTGATAACAAGTTTAATAAAACAGGGCCCTGGAGTTTATATTGTGAGCAGTTAAGTTGAGAGCCAGTGCTCGGTTTCCAAAGATCAAAATGATGATTATTGAAAAAATATTTATTTGTAAGCTTTCTCACCATGCATACAGTAATCAAATATTTTTGATTGGGTAGTCATTCGTTAGTTGTTAAGGACAATTTGTCTTTTTGTTTTGTTTTGTTGTTGATAACATGGGTCATATTGTTTAATGTAAAAGAAATTCCACTGCAAATGCCCAACCAAGATACATTTAGCATTGACAAGATCTTGTCAATGCTAAAAGTTGTTTAGATTCTTCTCCTATTGATAACGATTTCTTTGTACATGGACTATTTATGACGTGCTCGTTCTTATTCCAACATTTCTCCATGATTTGATACACAGTGGCTCAAGAAATGGATCAAGAAATGTGATGATGACAGTGAGACTTCAAACTGGATTGCAGCTAACACCAAAGAATGTCCCAAGTGTCATGTGACCATAGAGAAGGACGGCGGATGCAATCACATGGTTTGTCGCAACCAGAACTGCAAGGTATGTCCCTTTCTAAATTGTGATAGAATGCATTGGCTGGAATGGAGTCTCGAATATTTCAACTCTTTTTTTTTGGTCTTGTTAACCCTTTCACAGCCTCTCCTTACATTATTGGGCTATTGTAATCATGAACACAGACATTTTGTATGTCATGATTGTTTGTTTTTAACGATTGAAAACAAAACAAGGAACTTACCTTGATCCCTGATTGTATTTACAAAAAGTTATATTTACATGCATGATTAAACATTTGTATTAATTAATTCAGTCAATTTTTAGCATAATTTGGTATGTATATAGTCTCCATACTCATGGATTCAGAGAAATAATTTTTCAGTTTCCAAGGATATTTCACTGAACTGTGATCAAAAGGAAGAAAGAAAAAAATGAAAGAAAGTGATGGATGAATTGGTTGTTAGAAACATGCCATATTTAGTTGACAAATGTCTAGCCAATATTACAGTTCATTAATGCATGAATATGAAAGAAGTGCTATTCATCTGCTTTATAGAATGTTATTTCCTGAGGCACATGTATTACTTGTCCAATATATTTTCAAAGTATGATCGTCCAAAGTGTATGATTAAGCCAATTATTGTTATAAATTGTTCTTGTATTTTTTGACAGGCCGACTTCTGTTGGGTGTGTCTAGGACCGTGGGAACCCCATGGATCATCATGGTAACATTCTTTCAAATCAAACACTAACAATTCATGGATGTAACATGAAAATAACATTATTGAATAAAAGAGCCTCCACCTCCAAAGGGGGGCAAGGTCATGGTATCTGTGAAAGCATTTCATTGGGATAGATGATGTGTTATAATGTTAGTTTGTTTTGAACATAAGCTGCTCTTTTCAAGCACCTTTAACACTTGACCCAGATCGAATGTTGTGGGTTTGAGCCATGGCCTAGCTTCAGTGTCCTTTGGCAAGACATCTGCCATACTTTACCCATGTGTACCTGATGGAAGGAATTCCTTGAATGCTTCGGGCACCAAAATATGTATCCTGTTTATTATAATTTTGAGTCCATATCTGGTTTATCTATATATTTCAATCAATTCCGATGCAGTCCTTATTTTGTGTAATGTCACATTCTTCTTTGCCGTTTACTTGTAATTCATTGTTTTTAACATGTTTCTCACTTTTCCTTCCTTATCCTTTCTTCTTTCTCTTGCGCTTAGAAACATTGTATTACTGGTAAGCGCGTTATAAATGTAATGTTTTATTATTATTATTATTAAAAGGAAGCACCATAAGAACCTCTCATATTAAACAAGAGTAATATTTGCTCTCAGATTTATTTGGGTTGTTACCTCTGAAATCATTAGTGAACTGTGTCCTACTGTGAAAGAACTCCTGAAAACAAGTCTGATGCTCCATAACGCCTTTGAATCTTCTTACTGTTTTCCAGGTACAACTGCAATAGGTATGATGAAGATGATGCAAGGAAAGCAAGAAACAACCAAGCAGTAAGTTATTCTTCTTATTCTTGGACTTTCCCAGGAATAGGTGCCATAGTTACAGTGAAGACATTGATGTAGTGTCATCTGTGTTAGGTTTTGACATACTATGTAGCCTGTCAGAGCAATCTCATTCGGTCCAAGATTGCCGCCAATATCTTGAAATGGCCATGAATCATGATATATACGTCTTAGAGATGTGATTTTGGTGTCTATTTCTAGGTTTAGGGGAGGGGGGGGGGGGGGGAGTCGAAGAATCCATTCATACTACTTACAAAGAGTTCTGGCCGCCAAGAAACCTGGAAATCCAAGATGGTGTCCATATGGCTGCCAGTCTCCTAACTATTTACAGTAAAGCTATGATTAGCACAATTAAAATATGTTTTAGAGGTCAGGATAATCACTGGTAAGCTTTAAATTCTCATTAAGGTTTAGAGTAGTCTTATACCCATAACAATACAAAAGATAGCCACCATTTTGTAATCCAAAATGGCTGCTGGAAACTAACATTTTCCATAAATCGTGATATATCTATCTAAAAGCTGTAATTTTGGTGTTTATACCTAGTTTTTTAGGGGTAAGAAAATCTATTTAGACTGCCTAAAATTTAGTATGGCCACCAGAAAAGGTAGAAATTCATCAGGTGTCTAAAATAACCAATAAGTATCTAATAACTGGCTTTGGGTGTTGGTTTGTTTTTTACAGTACAAATCGTGGGAAAATGTTCAGGTATGTATTTTCATTGAAAGGCCTGTACACAAAAAGAGTCATATAGCTTCATGCAAGACACTTATGTAATATCGTTGCTAGTGTGTCTCCAATTTGGCTGCTGGCATGTATGCTATCATATGTGTCATTGAGAAAAGAGTGATTTACATTTTCCGCCACTTTGCCGTCCATGATGGCCTGCAGCATTTGATAACAATATTAAATCAATAGCCGAGGCATGTCATTGTAGTCTATCCCCTATAATTTTTCTTCTTTTGTAATTTTTCAGGGTATTCATTGGAATATGGCCTAAAAATTATATTTTCTGATTCTGTATCATCTTATGAATATTTGGTGAAAATTTCATACTCTTTTTTTTTAGAATATAAGTATTCAAGCATGTCTCAGGACTTTTATCGAGCCACATGGTACATGCAACACCATCGCAATCTCTCTCTCCCATTAGTACTGAAATAAAAGCTGCATTCTGCAAGCTGCTACAGTGGTAGAACTAGAAGCTACATCAATTCTAACTAATTCCATTACTTTGGTGTCGGGTCTTAGCTAACAACAAAAAGTAAATGTCCCAGAATTTCATCTAAGATATTTACTAAAACTCATGAAAAGACAGACCTTGCAGATATGTTCCCACCTCTTCTGGCATGTCCATTGAGATCAGCGCAGGTTGCAATTTCTGCCTTCTTAATACACAAAATTGATATCAGCTTTAGCCTAAAGTACAATCAACATACACAGCCATCATGAAAAAGCAGATTTATCTTTGTAGAATGACCGTTAACATATTTCTTTGATGCACTTAGACACTCTACACATTCATCACATCAGTCAGAAATGTAGAAGTAGCACAAAGTGCAAGGCATTTTTAATGTGAAAAACTATGTTTCATATTTTGAAGTAGCATTTTAGAGAAAGTCATATATCGTAATGAAAATAAGTTATAGACAAAAACATACCTTTTCAGCTACTTTCGGGGCCACTTTTGCTCACTGATGGTTGGCCATTACACAACAAACTCAAACCACTAATGCATGTGATTAATATTTTTAAATAATGCGATATCAGAGTCATTTTCCGGGGAAAATTGCTTGAATTGAATATAGAGTTATCTGAATATGAGAATCCACTATTTCTTAACAGAATTTCACTACTGGAATAATTGCTTGATGACATCTTGAATTATTTTTAGTATATAAGGATACTCTAAAGGCTTTATTATTTGAAGCACACCAGTGACCTGACCTGTAAAACATACATTTAATCTTGCTAAGTACAGCTTACTGCCAATAGTAGCTCACCCCAGGTCATTTTTAGGAGAATAGCGGCCATTTTGGATGCCATCTTGGATTGACAGGTTTTCTGGTGGCCATTACCCATTGTTAGTGGTATAGATGGATTTTTCAACCCCCAAAACCTAGGTATAGACCCCAACTTATATCATGATTTATGGCTAATTTCGGTTTCCGGTGGCCATTTTGGATTAAAAAATGGTGGCCCTCTTGTGTATTGTTATGAGTATAAGGCAAATATAAACCTTTATGATAATTTAAAGCTTTCCAGTGAATAATCTGGCCTTTAAAACATATTTTAATCATGTAAATAGCTACTAGACTGGTAGCCATTGTTGATGCCATCTTGGATTTCCAGGTTCCTTTGTGGTCATAACCCATTGTAAGTAATTTGAATGAATTATTTGACCTTCCAAACCTAGGTATAGTCACCAAAATCACATCTCTAAGATGAATTTATCTTGAATTATGGTCAAATAAGGAAATTGGCAGCCATCCTGGATGCCATTTTGAAAATAACTACCGGGGTCAGAACTTTTTAGATTTTTTGAAAGTTGTTTCTGATGTCAAACGCTACCGGAAACCGTTGAAAAACAATTTTTGTGGGTTGGGGTATTTTTTTCCATATTTTGACCCGACTGATGTCAGATAAATAATAACTAATCGTCATTTCTTGGATCCTATTCAGTGTTTTGAATGTGTAGAAGGAATTAGCTACAACCTTAGCATGTTTCTTTTTAAGAAATCATTATGTTATCACATTTGATCATATAGATTTCATTAAAATAAGTGAGTCATGAGATGAAAGTAACAGGCCAAAGGCTTGCACATTAAATGTACTTTAAAGCAATATTGAATGAGAATGGGTTATGAATTCTGACAAATGATTTTGATAATTCTTTTCCAGCGATCGAGGCAGGCGCTAGAGAGGTACCTGTTCTACTGCAACCGCTACATGAATCACATGCAAAGTTTACGATTTGAGAATAAGGTAAATTCTTCTGATTTCAACATTTTCTGTATGATTATTTCATGTTAGATTCATCAGTACTCTGTTCCTTAATCTTATTTGTTGAGAACTAGAGGGAATTGAACAAGAGTACCTCGCATTTAGTTCTCACCCTTCTCTTTCTCACCAGTTGATGCAATGTTTTTTAGTCCAGTGTTTCTAATAAAAAGAGTGATGTTCATTTCTTACCTTGAGTTGCAAGTAAACAACTTATCTTTTAAAGCATGGATGAGTTAAATAGGAAATTATGTGTAGGTTGTTATCTTTAAGGTCGCTGTTTGCTTAAAATTTCATTTCTAAGAGAAATATTCATAGCTTTTCACTTAGCATACCATATTTTAGAAAGGAAATTTATATGTACATCTTATGTCAATTTAGACAAAACCATTTTTATACCATCTCTACACCAGTCAAATGAAAGCATATATTTTATTGGCAAAATTTACTGTGACAGTCAAACCTGGTAGGTGGTCACCTGTATAGAAAGACCACCTGTCTATAAAGACCACATTTTTTGTTTCTCTTGAAAATTGTTTCTCATTGAAACGTGTACTAAAGGAACGTGTACAGAGAGACCACCTGACCACTTTTCTTGTCTCCCTTGAGTGGTCTTTATAGACAGGTTTCATTGTATAAGAAAGCAATTGTCATAGATGTATGTGCTGTACAATGATTATATTTGTTGTTATGTTTCTTGTTTCTCCCTTGTAGCTTTACGCCCAGATAAAGCGCAAGATGGAGGAGATGCAGCAGCATAACATGTCATGGATCGAGGTCCAGTTCTTGAAGAAGGCTGTAGATGTCCTGTGCCAATGTCGCAGTACCCTCATGTACACTTACGTCTTTGCATTCTACCTCAAAAAGAACAACCAGTCCCTTATATTTGAGGTAAACAGTGAATACCAATCCCTATAACCTGTTCAATAAGGCCTTTAAAAAATAAATTATAACACACATCTCCATGGGCTAAGGTAGTGGGGATTTTTTAAATAATGGCAAACTCTATACCAGCTGCACCGAAGACATGATGGTTGTGTACCATTTGATTGATTCATTCAAAAGAATTCTTGCCAGAATAACTAGCAAATAATAAGTCCAGCTAATGAGTTCTGTGAGCTTTAATTGGTATGTTTAGATTTAATGAGTTTCAAAGTTATTATTACATTGAAACAGATTTTTCTTTCAAATATCAACTTTGCACTTACCCCTATATTCCTGTGTTCATGAAGTTGGGTCTGTGCTGAGAGAATGTGTTTGGGCGTGCATGTCCTGTGTGTACATCTGCCTGAAATAAGAACTAATGCTTCTGGTCCAACCAGCCAAGTTGCTTGTGATTACGAAAGAATGGCTTTAAACATGCGGGGTTTTTTCTACTTATTCAGATAAACCTGGCATGAGGACTATAGAGTCATTTTGAACAAGGGTAACATTTGGTCCTTGAGCAAACTTTCTTTGTTAAACTCGACTGTAGTAGTAGCTTTAACCCATTTTCAGGTTTAATTATAGAAATATAGGAACTGAAAATAATAATAATAATAAATTACATTTATAAAACGCTTAATACAATGTTTCTAAGCGCTTAACATACAAGTAATTAGGTACAACGTAAAATAAACATACAGCAATAATAATACATAATTCTAATAATAACATTACAGATAATTAAACTGCCCTATAAATTACTATCACCGGTAAACAAAAAATACTTCAAACTTGCCTTAAAAGACTCTACAGATGGGGATTGACGAATAATAATAGGTAAACTGTTCCATAATTTAGGGGCTGCAATGGCAAAAGTACGATCTCCGTAACGGGTATTTGTTCCGGGACCAGGGGCGTATTGGAAATTAGCATGTGTAGTTGACCTTTAGAACGTGATGGAACAATAGGTTTGAGAAGGTCGTTTAAATATGATGGAGCATAACCATGTTTAATTTTGAATACTAACAAAAGAATCTTAAATTGAATGCGAGTTAAAATAGGTAGCCAATGAAGAGATCTGAGAATAGGAGTTATGTGTTCATATTTTCTGGTTTTGGTAATGAGACGGGCTGCCATGTTCTGAATACGTTGGAGTGGAGAAATGGTGGAATCTGGTAAGCCAAAGTACAATCCTTTACAATAATCTAAATGGGAAGTCACAAAAGCGTGGATCAATCGTTCTGTAGACTGTCTGTCCAAATATTTTCGAAGTTTACTAATCCTGGATATACCAAAGGCAGCCGTCCGACAAGTATTCCTGATGTGTTGCTTCATATTCAATACATTATCAACAGTGACGCCGAGGTTACGAACTACTTTTGAAGGTACGATTTCAACGCCAGCAGCATGCAAGCACGGCAGACTGCAAGAACTTCTAAACTGCGAGGTGATATGTAGTACCTCAGTCTTAGATTGATTTAACTTGAGTTTATTTGAAGAAGACCAGGACATGACATCGGAGACGCACTCGCTCAGTTTATGCTTAGAGCCTACGTGATCTTTGGATGTCATGGTCACATACAACTGGGTATCGTCGGCGTACATGACATGATGAATGTCCCGATGGGAAGAGATGACCGCACTCAACGGACCAGTATACAGGATGAACTCCAGTGGACCTAGGACAGACCCTTGAGGAACACCCCAGGGCAGGGGAAATGGTCTGGAAATAGAGTCATTCACAACGACGTGCTGTTTGCGATTATCCAGGTACGAATCAAGCCACTTCAAAGCACACCCCTTGATGCCATAGCCTCGCAGGAAACGATCAATCATAGTTGTATGGTCAATAGAGTCAAACGCAGCAGTGTAATCAAGGAGCACCAGCACAGCCTCATGACCCTTATCAACTGCAAGAAGCCCGTCATTGAAGACTCTGATCAATGCTGTTTCAGTTGAATGGAACTGTCGATAAGCCGACTGCATCTCAGGAAGAGTTTCTTTCTTCACATCAACAGGCTTGGTTCCCTTCATTCATTGGAGACCTTAGTGATTTATAAAAGAAGGACGCTCTTTCAAAGAAGATATTTTTTAGGCCTCCGCTACAAATTAGCCGGAAGCATTATGTTTTTGGGTTCTCCGTCCGTCCGTCTTGACGTCCCGTTCTCGTGATCGCGTTATCTCAAGAACCAATTGATGGATTCCCACCAAACTTGGGTCATGTATGTATCTTGCAGAGCCAATGAACTGATTAGATTTTGGGGTCAAAGGTCACAGGGCTCATTATTTTATCTCGTTTTTGATTTTTAGGAGAATCAGAAGGACTTGGAGAATGCGACAGAGACTTTATCAGAGTACCTAGAAAGAGATATCACCTCGGATGCCCTGGCAGAAATCAAGCAGAAAGTACAAGATAAATCAAGGTACGAGCTTCAAATTCAGCTTTTAGTGAAAATTAGCTTCAAATAAAGACGTACTGAAGCTTTGGTATAGCTTTAAAATAAAGTTGTATGTCCTTATTTAAAGCCATTCTTCCATTTTTTAGTATCAGTCACCTGTGTATAGAATTTTACATGTATTTCTTGTTTGAATCCCTTGCAACATCTCTAATGATGCTCTTTGGCAAGACAATAATATATGTTCACCCCTTGACCCGGAAGGAGTAGATGGATGCTGAGTAGGGAAAAAACATGTTGAATGCCTCGTTGTTTGTAATGTCAACTCTGCAAAAGCCATGAAAAATAAGTTTTAATGCTAGTTACATGGAACTTATTGTAGTAAGCAAGCATTGTTTAAAGTGATGTTATCATTATCAGGATTATTGTTATATCATTTCATTATCATCATCATCACCATCATCACCATCACCGTCACCATCTTCAACTTCATCTTCATCTTCATCAACATCCTCATCGTCATCATAATGTATCACTTGTTGGTTTTTTTTTGGGAGATTTCTTTTAAATTATCTAAGACACTAATTTTTCACTCTCTGTTTCACACTTATCATGGCAGGTACTGTGAGAGCAGAAGAAAGGTGGCACTAGAACATGTCCATGAAGGATATGAGAAGGATCTCTGGGAGTATTACGATGATTGAATACCGGTAGCAGCCAGAGTAGCATCTAGGAAGTGACTATTTTATCCATTGTAGGAGGATTAAGAGAAACGTTAATGACTTCCATCTTTACTTTCCAAAAAACTTGTTTGTTATGTGCATCTTATTAGCATAAGGAGAAAGTTCAAATGTTTTTCTTCATGTATCTGTAACGTTGCGTTTGTTCGTTTCATCCCCCTGCCAAGTCATCTATTTGCATTTCTGCTTTCATATATTACTCATAAAAGGAACTATTAGGATTCTACCGTATTTGCCGGCGTAAAGGCCACAGTATTTTTGGAAGAGAAAATATCAAAAAGTCGGGGTGCGGCCTTTACGACGAAACAGACAAAAAAAAAAAAAAGTCAAAACCAGCCCGAATTTGTACATATGGGACTAGATCTACGAAGGGTCCAATAACTATACATTTCCACACATCTTATCGACAATTTTATCTTGCATTGTTGACATGAAGACGAAAATAAACTTCCAAAAACAACATCTGCCGATAGATTTTGATCCAAGTTCGTGCCAATTTATTGCAAAAGTAAAAGAAGGGCCCGTTTAACGGAGCCGCCGCGAAGCATCCAGCACGCGAAGTCACCATTTTCAATCCATTTCAATGACTACATCACATAAAACGGCAGTGTATGGTATCAGCGCGGGATGGCCGCGTGGTTTAAGGCGGTGATTTTAGTCACATCAACATTTGTACGCAAGAGATCGAATCCCGACTTTGGCCAAAAAAAAAATGTCAAAATCGGGGGTGCGGCCTATACGGCGCTGCGGCCTTATCGCCGGCAAATACGGTATGCGCACATGAAATGACTTTCCTCGCAATGTACAAGAAGGAAAAATAAAAAATTGGAAGAAAAAGCGAAAAAGAGCAATAATTTTGTGTCCCATTAACATTTTTTCATGCTGACTAGTAGGTTATTACTCCTGGCCTACTGTAATCAATACCATGCTCTTACAAACAAAAATATTTCCAATATTTCCCAACCATATCCGGACAGTTATAGGGTTGTTTGTCACAGTTTTTGAAGAAAAAAAAAGACTGAAGGTTCCATTGCAGTGTTATTGTGTGAACTGCGGTTATGGATAATGAGGGATGAAAGAGCTGCTAATGTTGGGTAGCAGGTGCTTTTATTATAATGAACTATGTGATGGTACTGCCTGTAATCTATTCCCAGTGTTCACATTTCCAAAAGAATCACCAAATCAGTGAGAAAAGAAAAATGAAGTATTGCATTCATTGGGTGATATTATAGATAATAATACCTTGCTTTTGTATCTGCATTATACCATTATGATAAAATCGCCCCTCTGCACTTCCAAAGGGTTTGCAAAAGAATCAAGTATTGCCAAAGTACTTGAATTTAATTGCAGTAAGATCAAATACAAATTTAGTGAAAAGTATGTTACTAGAAGTAGAGATACAAAGCCTGTAGTGAATACTCCCACTTCTTAACCACAGTAATATTAACAGGTTTCTTTAAATGTATGGCTGATACAAAATTTGAAGTGACCTGCATACCTTTGGTGAAAGAAGAGTGGATCACTTGATGAGAGTACTGGTATAAAATTTCAGTTTGCATTGTCTTTACCGAATGAGTTAAGTGGTGGTAGTAGCTAAGAATTGAACACGTTTTGTGATGAAGTAATGATTTGAAGGAAAATATGGATGAAACCTGATATTATATTCTGTATAATAGCTTCAAGCTCCAAGGCAAGGCAAGTTTTAGAAGCATGATTACTGGTATGGCAATTCATCATAGAGCCAGTCATTCATTCTGTGTAAAGAACAGAGCTTACAAGCCTCAGTATAGCAGCCAGATCTGATTATGTACATCTGAGGACCAACATTTAATGTCACCATCCAAAAGACTCAGTTGGAGATTGAACCTTGGGTTGGTGTATAGGCATACAAGAGAGTCAACCATTAGACCAAGTCACATCTTGATGTGAAACAATGCCTCACATCAAGGATGGAAGATAAAGATTCATCCATTATTGTAGCATTTTCAAAGGAACGTGTCCATGTTCCACTAAAAAAAAAAGGGAAAGATCAAAGTTGTCCCATCAGACGTGAATACAGCACATATCGATGTCTTGAGAGTGTATTCTGTTCAGTCAATGTTGCCTGCCTGCAGTAGATTCAGCAGTCTATTGTACATTCCCGGGCATGATACTTGCTGCATCTTTTCTACAATATCCATTGTCAAGATGTATGCATTGCATGCAGAAGTTGGCATTGATTCTACATTGTATTTTACATCAGTGATATGAGAAGCTTTGTGAAGATGGTATTATTATTATTATGGAAAGAGTAAGGTAATGTACCCATTTAGCTTCAAATGATATTGTTCTTTACTTTAATATTACATTTAATTATTTACATTGGAAGGGGACTAAAAGAAGTCCAGTTTTTAAATTGTTTGTACTTTATAGGATGTGCTAAAAAAACACACCAGTTATTACATTTTCTGGAACAGGGGACTAATATATTTGTTTGCTTATTTTAATTTATGATATATGTTGTTTCTTTATTAATGATTTTTATTGGCTGGTATTTTAACATATAGCTAAAGAGATACACTGTATAGAGAATGTTTTATTAACCAATCTCAATCTTATTCTTTTCCCCTTGAAGGTAAACTTGCACATTATCAAGATATAAGATTTGTAGCATGCGAAATATGGAGGAATGACTCTCCAATTCTCTCCATTAAAGACATCTCTATGCAGTCAACTTGTAGTCTTCAACCTCAGTCGAGATTGAGAGGGTTAAAGCATCTGTACAAAGTTATGATATGAAGTTATGAACAATGAAATGGTATGAAAGAACGATAGAGAAGAGACGATGTAATGTATTGCGCATATTATGATGCTCTGATGTTTCTCAAGCACCTGAATGTAGTAGAATCAACCTGCAACTTCTGTCGGATATGAAAGGAGCATAGCAGTTTTAGAACCAGAATATTCCTAGTATGTATATGCCGTTGTATGAGCATCTAGATGTACAGATGTATTGATGAAGGCTTGTTCACACAAAAGACTGTAAACCAGCTTTTAAAAATGCTGCAGCAAAGTGAAAACTGTTCCAATGAATGGCAAGCAAGAGTGAAAAATCAGTAACTTGGGGAAACAGGCCTCTAAGCGTACTCATTATCTGTGTGTTGACAAGATACCGAAATGTGAAGGGTACTATACATATGCCATTTTATTTTGCGGCAGGATTTTTATGAGGTGGTTTAGCGAGTCTGGTGTGAATGAGACTTCCAGCTGTTACTGCCTCTTCATCCCAGAGTTTGGATGTGACTGCAAGTCATCGGAAGTTTGCGTTGTTCCCCCATCTGTACTGTGGGTTTTTGTATTCTATCTGTGTTGCAATATTTAGGGGGAAACCAGCTCTTGTAGTGTTGTAGCATCAGAAGTAGTTTGTAAATTTGGTCATGGGAAAAGCTTCTCTTTCTCCCTCTCTCTCTCTCTCTTTCTCTCTTACTCTCTCTTTCTCTCTTACACACTCTCTCTCTCTCTCTCTCTCTCTCTTTCTTTTTCTCTCTTCTGTTCCATTCCATCTTTCTCTTTTTCATATCATCACTTTAATCCTTCTCTTCTGTTAGCATGTAATCATCTCTCATTCCTATTTCATCCTTATCTTTATCTTTCCTTGTTTTTATCAAAACTTGATTCACTTCCATCATTTGTTTTCTTTAATAGTCTCTGATCTTTCTCCTATAGATCACTCTGGGACAAATATAGTCATCTAACTTTTGCATGCATACGTATTTCTTGTATGTATTATTGTGAAATCTTCGAATTTAGATTTCATACATATATGACCTTCAAGTATGCTTGGATTTTTTGTTTTGTTTTATTCTTTTTGTCTATATACATCAATTCAGCTTTGCAACAAAACTTAGATTAGTGTAGTCGTAGCTAGATCTGGAATAGAACTGAAAATTAAAGCCAGATTAAAACAAGAAGTTAAGAAATAGATGCCTAATAGACGCAGACTCCAGTGTCTGCAAAAAAATCATATGTGTGTGCTAGATTGAAAGCATGTAGTTCAAATAGAATACTCTTTACTCTACTCAATAATACCACAATGAGTAGTCAAACTGTTGTGGTGGTTCTAACCATATATAAGTGACAAAGGGAAAAGATGTATAAAGTTTGTACAAACACTGTATGTCTATTTAAATGTTTTTGGGGGAATCTAGTGTTATACAAGACGGGAGATGAGTGTGAATGAAAAGAGTTTGAATTAATTTTATGTTTGCATGTCGGGATGCGAGAGTTGAACATTTTTATACTGTGTAATGGAAAAATGCAGGACACATACAGTCACAGAATCCAGACACTATGTATGGTGCAGTAACAATATGTGCGAACCAATTGACACATACATGTGTGTAGAATTGATATTGTATATGCTATGATAAATCAACATGGGCAAGTCATTCATATCTAGTGAAGTTGCAGTTTTTAAACTATTTTGATCTGAAGTTTTTTTGCACGCTGGTTGTGCTCGAGATTTATATTCCTGTGAATTACATAAAACCTAGAAAAATGATGACATTCCATCATTGTAAGTTCACCAGTAGGAGTAGATCTATATGTTAATTGTCTTTAAAAACCTTTATATGAATTCTGCTCGTTCAAAAAAAGTCAACAATCTGATATATTATCCTCTATATTCTCAAAAGAAATTGGAACTACAACAAAAACATACTGCATTAGACTTGATTCCCAAGTCACAACAATATGGAACATGAAAAAAAAAGGAAGTTAATTAGAAAAGCGATGATTTAGTGCGTTCAAAGCAATCAGAATTGTAAAGATTGGGTGAATTGAGAGCAGTTTCCTCCAAGCAGTCCAGATAACTTAAGGTGGAATTTAATTTCTACCACAAAGAGAGGAGCTCTGACAAAACATGAACCAAATGAGTGCACTAAAGGTTTAGGGTTAGGGTTGGGCTATAAGTAGTGCTTATCATAAATATCTGGACTAGATAATGCTTTTTAATTTGCTTCTTATCTCTTCCTAAGGTCAAAGTTCAATAATCCAGAAGATGTGCGTACCTTCAGGTAGCCAAATATTTTCTTGATAAAACACTGATATAAACTCTACCAAATTTTAGCTCCATTGAAGAATATCCTAAGCCCAAACTCATATGATTTAGGCTTTCAAGGTCTCTGATACTTTAAGGACTGCAACTTCACATGCAAATTTAATTTGTAATTGAAAAACTAAAAAAGAGTCGAGTGTGTGTGGTTATACCCGATGATGAGTAATTAAATGTTTTTGTTTGTGTTTTTCCTCGCATATTAAGCCTCATTGTGAAATCCATGCATTGTATTAAAACATTGAAATTTAGATATTTCAATAACTACACCGATGAAACTCATTGTTCCTGTGTGTTTATTGTAGGTTTGATGTTTAGGTTTATATGGGCAGGGTGGGTCCAGGGGTTTTAACATGTAGAAGTGACAGGTTTGAATAATATCAACAGCTTAAGATTCATTTTCAACCAAATTTTAATGAAATATTAGTCTCAAAATTTGTTTGAAGATGCTTCAAAATGACTCAGATTGCACCAGAGTGCATCCAAGAACCTTAGGGACTCTTCACATTGATTGGTTAATACACCTTCCAAGTTCAATTTTACATGTTTGAGATATGTTTATGTGTGTGGACCACCCTGATATGAGATTGGATGTTGAAGAGTGAAGGGATATTTTTTTATAGCGCTTGGAGACTTTGGTGGTAAGCGCTTTATAAGTAATGTTTTTATTAGTAGTAGTAGTAGTAGTATTATGGCTACATGGTATCTCATGTTGGTGGGGAGCAGGGTTGGACAAACAAAATTCTGTCAAGGGATTACATTTTGGAAATATGATTTAGGAAATTGCACAAGCCCTATTATGGGGGCCGATGGGTGGGTACCTAGAGAGCACCTGACCCCCCCCCCCCCCCTTAACAAAAAACAAATTAACATTCAGACATAACAATTCATAGGCCCATGCATGTAAAGGATTTTTTAATATTTCATAGAATGTAGTCAAATAAATTAAGTCTAAAACTTGTCAGCCCTGTAAGAAATAAGGGTATTGGGGGGGGGGGGGGGGCTGGAGTGGGGACTTAATTTTGTCAATCCTTTATTATGCTACTGCAGTGGGTTTTCCTTTATTTGTGGGCTTGCATGACTAGCTTCATCGACTTTAACTTCAGGTTTACTCATTTTAATACCTTGTAAGTGGCAAATTTTGTTCTACATTTAAATTCACTATAATTAATATTCGCCGTAAAACATATTCCTAGGCTATGATAATATGTCTGTGAGCCCTGTGTACCCTAGGCACAGGGGAGCTCAATAACTGAAAATGTTTAATTCAAAAGTTTCAAATTCGAGCACTAGGCCCAATTCTGATTTGTAAAGAAATTATGTAAGTTATGCTCCCAAACGCCCCCCCCCCCCCCCCCTACCGCCTTCCGTTCAAAAACTTACGCGATCGAATATACCTTCGTGCGTAGTGGTGCGTACGTACCACGTTCGTACGCGCGCGCTATCTTGGTGATGAAAGGTCGAAGGTTAGCGCCATCCAAGTTCTGCAGTTTCACACGTCGTCTCAAAAACCATCTGGTTTTCTCCTAGAATTCCACTATTTAAGGATACGATTATGTTTCGCCAAGTAGTCACAAGAATAGCCGGTGCTGTGAGGTCAACAGTCATCCCAAGAAATTTACAGCAACCACTTGGTAAGGCTAAAAACAATCCAATCATTTTGAGCCTTGAAATGTGCCGATGCCGGTTTCTCTCATTGACTATCACACTGCGTAACAGTGTGTAGTCCCACATCCAGCAATAACATGTCCTGTTTGATGCTGCCTAATTTTGAATGCAATTTTATTCAGAGAAAAGTAAAAGAAAACTTAGTTACCAAATATTTATGACATTTAAATATACATAGTTGCGTACCTTGGTTTAAGTAGAATAGATTACAACTCTCACTCTCAGTTTCTAATTCTATTTTATATTTTAATTTAAAGTCAAAAGACGAAACTTGACTTGAGTCTACTCTTGACAACAATAAGTCGATAATTAATGAATAGGTCCAGGTCTAAATAATAGTCTAGAGTAATTCGAATTCCATAGAAAGTTGCCAAGTCCCAGCCTTAAGGGTTAGTGATAATATGAAATTTGATATCCCTTAGCCTTAATTCGCACCCGTACCTCTGTAGAGGCAGGTTGGGTAAAGAAACCTAAAACGCGTTCAAAATTACCCCTTCCTGCGCGCGATGTACATTTACATTGCACACTGTTGATGGCTTGAGAGTTTGCGACGTGTTTGCTAGTAGACTCTTCTTTCTTCTCATACAAAAGTACTTTGAAATCGGCTAAGAATAATAAAAAGAAATGACATTTTGATATCAGATTGAATTGATAGCAATTTGCCAACCTTCAACGTGTTCCAGATGATATTTGGTCAAACAAAGATTTACAAAGATTTTGCGGTGTTGCTCCCAGCTAAGTAAGATGCAAAGACACATGGTACCATCTGATACTTTACGATAATAGCAAGTAATGTAAAAGACAATCGCGCATAAATCATTAATTCAGCGAACACCTAATATACTAAACTTACGCTATTATCAAGTAAGTATCAAATTGGCAATGCAAAAACAAGTTGTTTTTTCTTCGTGTATAACACATGTCTTTGCATTTCAGCTGGAACCAACGTCGCGAACTTATGTATTGATTTGAACTGCATGATTTTTAATCACTAGTAGTTTCAGGAAAAATTTGGTATTTGAGATAAAAGAATGTCATGAAAAAATATTCATGTTTATTATGTTTCACATGTTAGTCCTACCACACATGCTAGAGTGACAAAATTTCAGAATTACGAATGTGCAGCAGGCTCGATTGGGTGGATCCAGGATCTTAATGGCTTTGTCATGTTACATATAACCTATCAATTACTTTCAAAGCTGCAACACAAGTCAGGGGATACTCTGCTAAGGTAGAAGAAACAGACGAACAGTTTGATGCCAGATGGGAAGCTTACTTCAACCGACCCGACCTCGATGACTGGGAACTCCGACGTGGACTCAACGAACTCCACGGTCATGACTTGGTGCCTGAACCTAAGATCGTAGTCGCAGCACTCAATGCTTGCCGTAGGCTCAACGACTCAGCCATGGCCATCAGAACTCTTGAAGCAATCAAGGTTTGTGTTATGATATTATTGATGGTCATTTTAAAGACATTCCAAGCACTGACTCTTTAGCAAAAGTTAGTCGCAAAGAGATGAATACGTATATCACCAAAGATATTGTTATAAATAATCATTCTCAAACCGTTGAAAGTGCATTCAATACTTTGGAAAATACAATTGATAAGAGATGAGGGATACATAAATTGTGGTATTTGATTTGATCAATATGTTATGATAATCTTGAAAAAAATTATCAAAAAATATTTGTACTCCTATATTTTTCCTGCATAATTGATTTTATTTTGACAAGTGGTGCTCATTAATTACATTTATAAACATTTTCCAGTCATCTAAATTTGCTTCATCTCTAATTGAATCATTGTTGATACTAAATATATTTATTTCTCCTAAGGCTGTGCACAAAAGTGTAATGAAGTACCCGAGTACACTCCCAGGCTCACAAGCGAATACTCGAATATTCGGACGCCATGTTTTTTATAATTTTTTTGAATTTTTTTGAATTTTTTGGAGTTTTTTTAAATTTTTTTGAGTTTTTTTTTAATTTTTTGATTTTTTGATTTTTTTGATTTTTTTGATTTTTTGCCACTACCATACTACTCGGCAGTTTCCCAGATCCCTCGCCGAAACTGCATGCAACTTTACTTTGAGTTGCAGTTGAAGGTGCCGATTTAATAAGAATAATAACAGTAAACAATGCTGTTTTAAAAACCAAAGATGGCAGAATAATTCATTTTCCTTCAAGTTTAAACAGAAATCTGGACATTTGGTCCCAGTTTCTGAAAAGTGAGTTTGACAGCGCTTGAGTTGGGAAACATTTTTACCGACGGTACCATGCCAGCAGCTGCCGCTCTCCCTGGCACGGGTAAGCGTGGGCCTGGACATTTTTTTTTTTTTTTTTTTTTTTTTTTTTTTATTTTTTTTTTGCGGCCGAATATTCGGGTACGAGAAGTCGTACCCGAGTAGTTGACAACCGTGCGGGTACTCGAGCATTCGACTACCCGTCGCAGCCTTAATTTCTCCTGGTATTGAGCAAATCCTTTATATATAAACTGTATTATGAAGTTACTTTTCTTTTTAAATGTAGGACAAGGCTGGCAGCCACAAAAACATCTATCCCTACGTGCTCCAAGAGATTAGACCAACATTAGAAGAGCTCGGCATCAGCACACCAGAAGAATTGGGCTTCGATGCTCCAGAGTCAGACAAGATCTTATAAGGTAGACAAAAAGTCACATATTACTAACCCTAACCTTAAATACTATCACTTAAGTAAGTACGGTATGTACAAATATAAAATGTGCAATTGTATTAATACCATGTAGCAATGCATGTCCGGATAAAAAATTGGAGCTGTATGCATGAACTATAGGTTCAAATTTTTGTAATTTGTTAAGAATATGATAAAATTGCCTATCTATTTCCACATGATCTTTGAATGTTTGCATTTAATATTATTGATGGGACCCAGGATCTTGTTTAACAATAAAAAAAACTGACCTTGGGTAACTAAAACTAGATTTTAAAAGAAGAAAAAAAAAATTAACCCAGGATCGGGTTAAAATTTTAGTAGCACGAGGACCAATGCGTCTTCAAGAAAAGATAAGTTTTTAATAAAGCTAACCACGCTCGCTCTCTCTCTCTCCTCTCTCTCTCCTCTCTCTCTCCTCTCCTCTCTCTCTCTCTCCTTACTCTCTCTCCTCTCCTCTCTCTCTCTCTCCTCTCCTCTCTCTCTCCCTGTCTGTCTCTCTCCTCTCCGTCTCTCTCTTTCTCTCTCTCTCTAACTCTCTCTCTCCCTCACTTATCCTTCCTCTGTCTGTCTCTCTCCCTCTTGTAGGATAGATGGATGTTCTCAAAGCGTGCTGTAACCTCAGGAGATTCACAGCATATCCAGTTTGCAACAGAAGTGTTTCATACCAGAAGAACAGAATAGATGTCTATGTGTGTTTGAATGTAATTTAATCCCAATTGTATACAGATCTACTGAAACAACAATAAAAACCACAAATTGAGGCTAGAAGATATATATAAAAGGGGGTCATGATAAACGACTGATGATGTACGAAAACAAAATTTGCTCTTTGAAAGACAAACATGTGTTGACAAGAAGAAAAAAATGAGACAGCCTCTAATAGTAAATTATTAGAGCACACGATTGTTGCATACACTTCACATATCTATGCCAGAAATAATAATCGATTCCATTTTCTTTGATGGACGTTAATTGAAAAGCAAGTCTCTCTTCATCTGAAACTCTCATTTTCCATAATGTACAGAAGTTTATATATTCTCTGGCGTGGTTGCTGTGGAATCAATTTGTGCAAAATTGTGTGTGTGCAGTTGTCTTGTTAGCACTATCTAATGTGAAGAAAACAACAAATTATACGGTGTAATCTTGAATTCAGTCTGTGTCTGTGTTTTCATTTGGTATTATGAGGTTCTGTACATTGATTAATGGTATTCATATTAATGTAGCTGCTTGGGAAAAGATCTTGCTTGCTAAATTTGTATGCGGGGATGCATGAATCCTAAAACTTTAGGATTTATCTCCATGATTGTTAAAATATCGTTGTAAGCCAGACATGTTAAAGACCTTACAGATCTGAAGAGGGGGCGAGAGACTGTTGTTATTAAACACTGCACTCTTGATTTGGCCATTTATGTGTTCATGATCACATATAACTGAGGTGGAGTGTGAGAGATTGGAGAGCAAGGAAAGAAATGAACGAAATGAAATACAGACAAGAGGAAATGAAAACGTGAAGATGATAAGGAAAGATGAGAGAATCGTGTAGGGGAGTGGGAACATTTCAAAGTGGGAAAATACGTGTGATGTTTTGAGCAAGCCGGGTAGAATCCTTTTAGTAACGAGCAGTTTGACCTGCCAAAATATAAAACTCTTATGGCCGGAATTCACAAAGGAGGTTTAACTTGAACCATGGTTTAAAACCCTCATTCACACACCCATGGTTTAAAAATGAGCGCAAAATAAGCGTAAATTTTAACCTCCTTTGAACTTGTGCGTATATCGTGTGCCGAGAGCTAGAGGGAAGTAACTTTCATACTTCACCACAGAGTTTTTGACACCCTTCTGGCTCTGGACAGATGGCATAGTCATTAGCTTGGTTCTTAAAATTGGAAACTGGTTTAGACATTTTAAGTCAAATATCATGGGACAGTTATCAGTATGAGCAATGGAGAGAGGTGCTATAATGGACAAATGTTCATTTACTGTGCACTGTAGGGTTTAAAGACACGAGGAGAGATGTGTTTAGCGTCAAGAGGCAGGGAAGTGAGAAAGATGTGGTGACATGGTGTGTCTGTACAGAAGTGGGAGTCGAGTTTTTGGGTTGGACATGGGCAACATCAAGGCGAGAAGAAGGCTGTCGTTAAAAACCAGACAGGATTAAAAAAAAAGATAGACAGAAAGAGGATGGTGAAATGAAGTTACACAGATGTAGGATTCCACCAACAAAAATCATCTGCTATCTTTATGTGTGCATGGAGGAGGGTTATGGTACAAGCAATATTGGATGTCCATTCACATATTTCAGAAATCTCTTCTTCCTCCACATCAGATCAGCATACTCTGGAAATCTTCAAGAATCTGGGGTCATTTTTTAATACCCCCCCCCCCCAGATCACTTGCCGTGCTTACTTGCAGTCAAGATATGCCTATCAAGATGTCACAATATTGACCTCTTAATCGTCCCAGACGTATTTAGTCAAAATCTCAAGCTGCAAATCTGGGCAGCTTGTTGTATTGATTCTTTTGGGGGCTTTAAATGCAGACAATACGTTGGTTCACTAAATGCTAAATACACTTCTTGGCATTTTCAATATAATAATAATAGATGTACATACATGTATATAGTTTTCAAATTACATGTATTGCCTTATACAACTTTGCTTGCTTTTCTCTACAATAGATACTTTACAGTGCTTTGATCTTTAAATGTATTTTAGATCAAATTGTTGTTGACATTGAGAAGTTGGGGTTGGTGTTTCTGCCGATTCAGAAAGAGGGTAGTATGTAAAGGGGTAATTAATACTCTTTCACATCCATAACTCAGTACACAATACCCATATAATTTCAATATCTTCATAAATTTATTCATGAAAAAAGTATTCATATACAAATATAAACTAAAAGTAAGCGAATTTTTTTTTACCCAATCTCCAAATCAGTTCAGAGTACACAAGAAACCTTGGGTTTATCAAAAGCTGATATTGTCATTTCATAAATATTGTGAAGTTTATTCCACGCAATTATATGCAACAATTCAACTCTTTTATTGGTTATTTAATTCAGTCAAATAAATAAAAGCAGCAAATCTTGTTTTATTCATAGAACTTTTGCATTTGCAAACACAGATGTCACTGAAAGTACCTAGTCTTGATAACTTGTTTTGTAATCATGTGTAATACATGTACTTTGTTTAGATCATATGATACAATTTGCAAAGATTTTTAACAAAATTATTCTAAAAATCTAAATGGAAATTTAAAATTTGTTTCAGTTAAACTAACACATTTTAGTGGTATTTTTAAATAAGGGATCAAAATATACAATTTATTGCAAAACCTAACAGTGAATTCAAAGACATTAACGAGCTGTAAATTGTAAAGTGTAACAAAGTTAAACTGTCATGGTAAATCAAAACGTTTCTTATAAAACAACATAAATATTATAGTTCCAACCAAACAAAAGATACTTTGAGGAAAGGATACATGTATATTCAAACCTGATTTGGGGGGAATAAATCTTTCTTATAAATCTAAAGCAGTTTGAAATATATCGTACAAGCATATGTGTGCACATACTTTCAAATACTTTCATCTTTTATACCACATATTGACCCGAAGGGCATACTACCGGTAGATTGGTTGGTGGTGGTTATTTTACCTGACTGCTAAGAAAGCATAAATGCTTGTTAGTAAGCAAGCAGACAGCCGACGGCTTTAGGTCCTCTCTGAGGGGCCTGGTAATGAAGATTAATGCCTTACCAAAGGGCACCAGCGTATCGACTTGGTTTCGAACCCGGGTCACCAGATTATGAGACCACTGCTCTATTGACTGAGCTATCGCGCCTCCCTTAAATATATGCATAATTTCTAGTTATGGGTACTATTTTTAGAAACACCTCACGGACCAGGATTTAGTAGACCTACTAGTATACAAAGTCAGATAATCAGATTACCCAGACATCCAGAACATCTTGCATTTTTCTCCTCTGAGGAATATACAGTATGGCATAAAGTCATCTGATGTTCTCAGGTGTCTTGTTTACCCTGAGTAGCCTCATCAGTATCAATGCTATTCTCCCCGAGGGTCCTGCAATCATAATACCTGGCAGGAATTAATTCTTTGAAATGTTAGAGCGCCGTATTATGGCAGCACAGCTAAAGTTTGGAAACACTTAGTGATTTTAATAAGCGCTACCAGTATATAAAAACCTGGCTGTAGTCGAGCTACCACAATTATTGGTAGGTGCTTAAGCTTTCAAGGGATTCTCTCTACCGGGTACCCATTTACTTCACCTGTGTAGAAATTGCTCAGACAAGTTCATGATCATGGCCCATATGTTACCAATCAAATCAAAGATTACACTTTATCTGATGATGATGTCAAGTTATTTTCCTATGGCAGCATGAACATGTCTTATATCAATTAAACTGAAAACTTCATTTTTCTTTCTATTCCAATAAACTTTATGTCTGGGCCATGATCAATACCGGTATTCATTTTGGACTTGCTCTTCATTCCTCCATTTCAATCCCAACCAGCTACTATGGAGCTCAAACTTCTCTACAACCTTCTCCAAAAAAATATGTCAAAGAGTTCCATACTCATAAAAGGTTGATCATATACCAATGGCATGTAAAGCAGTACCGATAGTCCAGCCTATTTCAGCAACAAAACATCGATCTTTAGTCCAGCCTATTTCAGCAATAAAACATCGGTCTTTAGTCCATTCTAGAGTTCCGATGTAAGCTCAAGTTCTCTTTCAGTAATCCTCTATGCTGACACACTGTTCAACGAGTTTTCTCAGATTGGGATTTTCCATGGCTGCTGCTATTCTCTCTTTGTCGTTGATTTGTTTGTTAACTGAAACAAATAAGAAAGAAAGGATATACCAAAGGGCATAAATCAATTTAAAGTAGCTTGCAAGTAACCCTTCAAAAATATATTTCAATTCATTTCAATTAAATTCAATTAAAAAATGGTTTATTAAACAACATGGTTTGCAGCAGAAAGCTGAATTGCACATGTATATATATATACACAATAAGCATAAACATTAAAATTCAAATTACATGGCAACATACACAAATGCTAAAATTGTTGTCTAACTACAAACATCAATCTGATGAATAGCCAAATAGAATGGGTACTTATAACTCTGAATAACAGGATGGCATGTCAAAACTAAAGAATAATACCAATATCATACTTACTGTCATCTTCTGTTGCATGTGTTCCTTTTTTAACAATGATGTCAAGCTGTATCATAAACAAGAACAATGAAACACATCCATGAATATTACAAAAGAATAATCTTTATCTATTCGGTCTTTTAGACATATATAAATCCAACATATCTAGACACAACAACAGAATTATTACCTCCCCCCCCCCCTCGTCTCTCTCTCTCTCTCTCTCTCTCTGTATCTCTCTTTTCTCTCTCTCATTTTCCCTCTCCCTCTAGTCTCTTTCTATGTTTCTGTCTTTCTATCTCAATCGTTTCTCTCTCTCTCTCTCTCTCTCTCCCTCTACAGTACCTGTAGGTTTCTTTATTTCTATCTCAATGGTTACATTACCTTGTGTTTATTTGGAAGACTTCTCTCTAGCCTGACTCTCAGACAAAGACCTACAATTCAAATAAGACAGTAATTACTATGACCATGTCACCATGTAAGTTTTCTGCATCAATACAACTCTGTTAATTATACTATTTATATAATATTGGATAGCTTTGAGTGTGATACAAGAATATATTGCTCGAGATATGAGTCTATAACAATATATTCTTGCATCATATAAAACAAAGCCATATAAAATTATTATTATATATATTTATTATTAGTCTGACTATAGCAAAATACCAAACTTGGCTTACCTCAGTAAATATGGCTTTGTTTTTGTGTGATATCAATATCGATAGTTGAAGTTATTACTATGACCATGTCACCATGTAAGTTTTCATCATCAATACAACTCTGTTAATTATACTATTTATTTATATAATATTGGATGGCTTTGAGTGTGATACAAGAATATATTGCTCGAGCTATGAGTCTATGACAATATATTCTTGCATCATATAAAACAAAGCCATATAAAATTATTATTATATATATTTATTATTAGTCTGACTATAGCGAAATACCAAACTTGGCTTACCTCAGTAAATATGGCTTTGTTTTTGTGTGATATCGATATTCCCGCATGACTGAGCAATATGAAAACAATATTGGTCAGTCATCCGGGTACTGCGCTAAAGATATTAAATACACTGATTTATTGTACCACTTGGAAGCCTTATATAGATAATAATTTCATATATTCAATTTCAACTAAGCAAGCTTGTTACATGTCATTTCTGATTAAAAAGTATATCCAGTAATTGATTTATAACATCACTAATAATTCCAATGTTACTGGATGAATGGTAATATACTATAATCTCTCCTTATCCAAAATTTGTGTGTCTTTGGGTCTTTGTTTGCAATACATCACTCTCAAGTAAGAAAGCGTGGAGAATAATCCTAACAAGGTAACATATGTTACAAAATATAGACTGCCATATGTAAATAACTATCAAATTGAACAAACTACAAGTATCACATGACTATGGGTATCAAGACTTCTAATTATTACAAGACATGAAGTGGATGGTAAAAGACTTCTGAAATAAAGTATAAGGATATTTATTGACAGTCATTGGCAAGATGGCAGTACCGGTATTCTGATTCGAACCAGTGAGTGATCTCTAAAATACATGATGGGCTTTGACCTAATCATGGCTGGCATCTTACCAATTAGTGTTGCTAAGGAGCAGTGAGGAACAGTGGGAGTGAATTCAATATTGATGAGATGACCCTGTTCCTCTGTCTCCAGGGCCGCTACCGTGACCCCTTCCTCATAGACGACCTCCAGGTCCTCCAGAGTATTGGGTTTCTCAGGATCCTGGATGTCTCGGATAATGTCTGCAAGATGAAGGAACAGTTCACCTTTTAAATCCTGTATGCACTAGTTTGGCCAGGAGGGATTAGACCTCCCTACAAGGTCACTGACAGGTGGTTATCTCATCAAATCAGCTCTCAATTAACACAAGAAAAAGGGGATCATGGGGGACCAACAGGCACCGATTAGGGATTGTTTGCTATGAAGAGGGCGCAAGTAGCTATAAGTAGTGCAGTGGGGCTTTAAAAGACTTTTAATTATCCTCTGGTAACATATGACCTTTAGATCTATCTATTGGTAGTAAGCCCTTATTTCATTCTAAAGTTTAATCACTAGATATATTGTTGCAAGGATCCATGCTTGTGCAACTGACAACCTAATAATTGAAGTTTTCCTGTACCTTACTGCATACTGCATACTGCATACCAATAAGATGCTACTACTCTAGGCCTACTTCCTCCAAAACAAAAATAAAAAGAGACTGATGCATTTAGTATCTTTAAGGATGTTAGTAGGGAAATCAGCGGCAGATCACAAATTTGTGGGACCATGTTTGAAGAGATTTTAAAACTCAATCATGGGTCAGGAAAATGTAATAGCCCCCCCCCCCTTATGTTTATCTGTTTATTTACAAGTCAGAGTTATGGACACATACTTATGCCTGCTTCTCAGATCACTGGATCTGATATCACTCAGATCTCATTATGATCTTACATGAACTATCAAGTGACAAAATCAATAACAAAGAATCCTCACCATAAATATCACCTGCCATTCCATTGAGCTCCTCTTGCGTGGTCCAGCTTGGACACGATGGAGGTTTGGAAGACTCTCCTCCCTGATCCATCCTCTTCTCTTTGATTGTCTCACCAGGATGCCCCTGGAGGAACATCTTAAGCAGGTACACACCACTCAGAAATGTCATCAGCATTGGTCCTGGCTCAGTAGCAAGCTCTTCAATCTATCTTCAGTCCTGGCGGAATAGTATTGCATTGATGCTGAAGTCTAATTCTTGAGTCAAAGATGTTCTAGGCCTCTTATATCTGATGCAAAAAAAAAGAGAAAAGGTTGGCTGAATAATAGTGATTTGCACTTTTTTCATTTCTCATATTATTTATTAAGGCTATATTATTGGATAAGCCCCTGTCACCCATTTTTGAAAAAGTTGTAATGAATAACCTAGTATACACATGTAACTGCTTAAGCTAATTGAACATGTAACCACTCATAGCAGCATTACTTTAATACTTTGTGTGTAAGAAAACCTTTTAAAACTCTCGAATATGGCTGAACATAACTCACCAGAATTTACTCAAAACATTTTAGTTTCAGTTTCAATTGATTACCAGAACTTGTTCTGAATCTAACGCTAAAAAAACAACATGCAATGGTGACAAATATCAACTGGAAGTTCTTCATTTTTTAAAAGAATTGAGACTTTGGATTATGACTGGAAATATCAGAAGTTCATCCTCATGTCAAATAAAGGCAAGAATTGTTGAGAGTTATACTTTTTAAAGAGTATTTTAAATGTTTGTTTTATTTTCCCACATTTATATTACTTTATAATGCAGTAGATAATAGATATTCACCTTTTCCTAATAAATTGTGAGCTACTAGAGGTCGATATAGGCTACATTGCTTCTTTTAACTGAAGGTGTTTGTATTCTGAGACCTACCGGTAGTTAACTTTATCACAAATAGCAGCATTGCATTGCCATTGCTTGTAAGTACCCACTGCAACGTCTACATATGGGACTGAACTTAATACTAACACGCATAATTTGATTCATTCCCTGTCAAATTTCATGCACACTCGCATCTTATAATGATTAAATAAGCAAAATAGTAAAATTCTTACATATTTCAACAATTCATGATATACAGAGCTATCCGGTATCCCTCTAAACAGCTAAATAAACCTCCTGATCATGCATAGCTAGCATAGCAAGTTGCAGTGGCGTCGGATCCGTCGATTCCTTTCCCAATCTAGAGTTAGTCTGCAGACACAGACTCTAAATGGGCATTTTACTACAATTCCTAAAGCCTTGAGCAGAGCCTAGATCCATCAGTCTATGGCTATGTCAAATGATTAAGAAAATTATCTGAAGTAGTTAAATTACAAATTCTATGCAGTATACTGTCAGCCTAGTCTTACAGTGCAGACACTGTTATGCACAGCGAATAACAGGGGTTTTTGTCTGCAGACTAATCTAGAGTCTCATCTGGTTCGGGGCGGGGCACAATTAAATTAAATGGGAAAAGAACTAATTCTATTTTTGTAATTATTATGAAACAATTAACGATTTATCGGGTAAACAGTAGGTGAAGGTAAAATTTCTTCAAAAAGTCACACTTTCCATAGGAAAGTTTACACACAGGGTAGGAATGTTCGACATTTCAGTATAGAAGACTGACTGTGTCCCTTGGTTGGAACATCCCGACTCCGCATCCAGCCTCCGCATCCCCGGTCAGGTTTTGTTGTGCTTGTGAGGACAACCGGTTTGATATTAACATGTTCAAAGTGTGGATGTTACTTTCCTGGGGACCAAGTGACGAGTTATTCTACTAACCTGTTATTGATGAGGGAACTACTTCATCTACAATACTTAGAATCCAGTCTACGCACATTAATTACTGTTGCTATGTCGGGCAAGCCTCGAGCGGGCAAGCTTTCAGGTTGTCAAGAACAACCTTTGTAAAAAAAAAAAAATGCATAAAATTTGAACAAGTTCGTAAATCGGTCTCTTGTTTGAAAAATAGCACTCGTATACACAATAGCAAGGCAAAAGTATTGGTCTCAACAGATTAATGTTAGGATTTGCATTTGAGTTAAATATTGTAGAAGGCCGGGTTGAAGGGTTGCAGTGGGCGGCCCATCGGGCCCCTTCTGAGCTTTGCCCGCCCATGGACACATTTCAATTTCTTCATATCACTGTGGACATCCCCTATCGCTCAACAACGGTGTGTATTTTTCAATTGCCTTCTCTGGCAGTTCCCCACCATCAATGGTGTTCGCAAGGCTTTCAAAATCTGCATACTGGTCTTTATCACCATCAATCCCGCATAATTCTTGAAAGTAAATTTCTTTGTTTTATGCCAGTCATGTGTTGTTTTCGTTGTCGACTGCATAACTCTTTTAAGATTACTGGAAGAAGAATGTAAGGGGAAGACGTTATACACACAGTGGCGTATTTAGCCCTTCTCAAAGTGCCCCTCTTTTGTTCTGATTTTTTGTTTGTTGCCCCCATCGCTATCAAGATTTTAGATCTACCTCTAGCCTAAAACAACCCGCCCATTACCCCCAGCCTATATTCACATTTACACTTCCCCTTCTTAATTCCACAATTATTCCTTTCGTCCAATAACCACAAGCGGGCGCTGTAACAGTGGAATCCAAATCCTAAGTCGAGATTCGACTTGTCAGGTCTTGAGAGAGTTATAGCTTGCGTGTTTGAATCATAACAGAGGTATCTCTTTGAATTACGTTATGAGGAAGATTGACATACAAGGCACCGAGGAAGGTACAGGTCATTGATATGCATTGGCATCTTGCTATCTAAAATAGAATGCTAAAATCATGTCAGTTCCGTATCGTGTCATATATTTTTCTATTACAACGAAACAATAATTACAAATTTACGATATAAAAACAAACAGAATCATCCTGGATCACAGGACGAGTCGTATATAATTATGTATACAGTATACATGTAAATCAATCATGACTTGTTAAGGACTAAAAAACAAACAACAAACAAGCAACCAATACTACGTCGAATTTCCGACAATTCAAGCACAAACGAAAAGGCAGAAAATGCAAATTTTAGAAATAGTGATTTGACTCATCTCATGAACGAGTTTTTAAAAGATCATGGACACTCGACTGTTGCTATAAAACTTTATGCATGACTAAGTATTTTCACCACGAGTGCCGATAAACTTTTTTAATTAAAGGAAAATGAAACCCAACAAATTTATAGCTGATAGTCTTAAACTTCTTAAAAATTATAAGCCATTCAAAAAATATCTTGAAATTACTTCTATTTGATTACTAATCAATTGTTAATCTCTCCAAGTTTGCAGTTTCCTTATTGATGGCCATTCTTTTCATGACTGAGTATTGTACAACTAGAGCATTATTGATGCTCATTTTGTTCATTTGTTACTCCGGCATCTCAAACAGGGTATTTCTTATTGTAGTCTTATTATGTACGTGTCACTCTTTTGAATAACTAGCGGAGTTTTGACTGACCAAGCAACGGCTTGTACATGCCAAATACTGTTTAAAAGGTAACTGCTCAACTTACTGTTTAAAACAGCTGAACCAAATAGCTTGTCACCACCGTGCTTATGAGAGAACATTCTATTTATTTGAATACATGGGCAAAAAAGATCTATCATCTATTACCTCTGTCATGCATTTTAAAGGTGTGTATCCGTGAAACATTGTAATTAAAATACAGGTCAGTGGGTATATCTAACAAGTTGTATTATCACTATTTTAATCGAAATGGCAGCTCCCATGGGAGAATGGCTAACAAGAAAATTTCAAACTTTAGAGAGATTGTTTTCCTTCCTTTGTAATCAAAGTTGGAGCGATTTCAAGATATTTTTAACTGGCTCACAATTTGTAATAAGGTAAACTTAGATTGTGCTTCATTCGGGGAGGGGTGTATCGCGGGTTATTAGAAGACAAGTATGAGAAAGAGAACAAAATCTGAGAATGTCACATTTTCCATGCACCACGACAATGATTTTCAATTAATGTTTTCGTCGAAAATTATGCGGAAAGTCAGCACATAATAAGCCTGCCCGGCCCCCACTCCGGGGTCGGAATGACCGCATGCGTGTTACCAAAATGTCCGGTAAAGGGGTACTTTTCGTGCGACAAAGTCCGGCCCGAGAATTGTAAAAAAAAAAAAGGGTGTGTTTGACTTTTCACCCGGAGATTTCTTTAAAAAGGGGGTCTTGTTTTTCCCTCTCATCTATTTGGACTCCTGAGAAATTATTCTGAATTTAGGGGGGGGGGGCTACATTGAGCATTTTTCCGTATTTAGGAGGGGGGGGGGTGTCTCCAAGGCAGGAAAAGCCCGCGAAAAGCCCGCGAAAGGGGGGTTTGGAAATGTTGGCAGTCCTCAGATATAGGGGGTGCTTTCAAAAAGAGGGAACGAGCATTATGCGTACCCTAAATAAACACCGAGGGGGGGGGGGGGGGGGGGGGCGGGGGCCGGGTAAGTCTGTCTCGCTCTTTCCATTCACCGTCGACATTAATTTTTGAGACTTTCCCATTGAAGTAGAAGTGTTGTTGTCTAGTGGAAACGTCACTAGACTATCATCATCATCATCATCACCAGACCACTACCACGATACCGGTAATCATTATCATCAATAAATTCATCATCAGTCCACTATATACCATCGTCATCATTATAATCAATTCATCATCATCATCATCATCATCATCATCATCATCGTCATCATCATCATCATCATCATCATCATCATCATCATCATCATCATCATCACCATCACCACCACGACAAGAACATCATTCTATCAGCAGCATCAACCACACATTGAACCAAACCATACATAAACGGCGCGCGCGACTGCTGACAAGCTGTCAATTTACGGGTTCGTTCGCCCCAGGGCCAACAGGTCGCGCAACCTCCCGACCTCCTCCATCAACTAAGCATTTTTTTCAAAACAAACCGGCCCCTGGATAGTGGATACTATGATAGATCAACGTATGCGAAGTAATGAGAGGACGATTATCAGCGATGGAAATCACGAATAGCTAATGACCATAAAAGGTAAAGTGATAAAAACACGATCAAACTTCCCATTTTACTAGTATATCCCATGTAAAGTTCAATTATCACGACTCACTTCTGAAAGCGGAAACCTTATAATTATTTACAAAAAATAATTAATATGTATGATACATGACTTGGAGGCCTACTTAAATTCTTTATTGGGATGTGGCTTTTGAATGAAGCCCGAGTACTTCCCCTTCTTTTTCCGGAGCTATTCTCTCTTTTTTTCAAAGCGACTTTGCTGTGAAAAGAAATGACCGTTCCATTTCATTCACTTTCGACACATCGGTACTTCAAGGCACACCTCATTATAATGGAAATGGCCAAACGATAGTACACTTCTCAATAGCGGATGTTTCCGCTCCGAGTTTCACTATTCTAATGGCGCTTTCCATATATGGGTCATCCGACGTCACCGCCGTAACTAATGACGTCAATCGGTTGCTAGCCTGACAGATTTTCTTCGAGAACCCCGTGAAGCCCCGTTTTGCCTTGCTATGAAGCTACCATCCAGTGATTGAGCCATAGTGTATTCCAATCTAATGTTTTACCAAAATTCGGCATTTTGAGAGATCGCAACTTTCCTACGCCCTCAAAGCAATACTGATTTTGGATTTTGGATGATAAACAAATACACGTGTAGCATTGCGTACACGTTTGTATGTACGCGCAGCTCAGCGAAGCGACGGGGAAACCACCTCCTCAAAATAGCACTAGTTTGTGTGTGACTAATTACTACACAATATTCTCGCGCCACTGCAACGGAAGGTAAGTAGTTTGGGCAGAATTCCTTTAGTTTTGTTAGAGAGCATGCTAATATCTGCATTAGGACATTAATTCTACGAAATATATGTTAATGTAGTATAATTTGGTGATATTACGTGATATATGTACATAATTTCATTATATCGTGACTTTGCGCGCATGAATTCAATGACGTATTAAAGCTGTTATTCGGCTGCTGGATGGGCATTCCATAGGAAAGCTCGATTCCGCCTAAAAATAGCTCGACCACTCGGGGAAAACATCTCGCCAAAGCCGTGCTTCTGAATTCGGTCGGTGAGTAAAAATAGAAGTGTGCCGTTGACTGTCTAGCGGTATGTCTAATAATTATAGAAGGATATGCGGGCTTTCTTGGCCTCAACAAAATCTGTCAACTCCACGCTGTGTT